GGCGCTGACCATGGTGCTGAACATGTAGCTAACCATGGGGCTGACCACGGCTCTGAACGCGACGCTGACCATGGCTCTGAACACAGCTTTGAACATGTAGCTGAACACGGCGCTGAACAGAGGACTGACATGGTGCTGACCACGGTGCTGAACACAGCTCTGACCACAGCACTAACCATGACGCTGACCACGGTGCTGAACATGGCATTGAATATTTAGCTGACCACAGTGCTAAACACAGCACTGACATGGTGCTGACCACAGTGCTAAACACAGCACTGACATGGTGCTGACCACGGTGCTGAACACAGCACTGACCACAGAGCTGAACACAACTCTGACCACAGCACTAACCATGACGCTGACCACAGTGCTAAACACAGCACTGACATGGTGCTTAACACGGCTCTGAGAACGGCTCTTACCACTGTGCTGAACGCGGCTGACCACGGTGCTAACCACGACGCTGACCACGGTGCTGAACATGCCTCTGAATATGTAGCTGAGCACAGACATGGTGCTGACCATGGTTCTGAACACTCCAGTGATGACATGTTTAGCCGCATGTCGTCATTCAACCGCTGGTTGTCTAGGTGGTGTCCTGAAAACAACGTGGGCTACATTAATAATTGGCAATCCTTTTGGGGAAAGCCTGGTCTGATTCGGAGAGACGGCATCCATCCCACTTTGGATGGTGCAGCTCTTCTTTCTAGGAATCTGGCCACATTTATTAGTCCTCCAAAACCCTGACCACCCAGGGTGCAGACCAGGAAGCAGAGTTGTAGTTTAACACACATCTCTGCAGCTTCTCTACTGTTACCCACTCTTTACTCCATCCAGACAGTGTCTTGTCCACGACCAAAATCTAATAAATTAGCAAAGATTCCCAAAGGAGTAAATCATGATAATCTAATTAAAATCAAAATAACTCCAATTGGGGAAAAAGTTAAAACGATTAAATGCGGTCTGTTTAACATAAGGTCGCTTTCCTCTAAAAGTCTACTAGTTAATGACTTGATTTGTGATAATCACATTGACTTGTGTTGCCTTACAGAAACCTGGCTGCAGCAAGAGGATTATGTGAGCATAAATGAGGCAACTCCTTCAAGCTATTTACATTTTCACATCCCCAGAAGTTCTGGGCGAGGAGAAGGAGTAGCAACAATCTTCCAGTCTGACTTACTGATTACTCCCAAAACAGTTAATACCTACAACTCTTTGATCATTTAACCCTTAATTTCCCTGATCCAAATTTCAAAGCAAGAAAACCTCTTCTTTTTGTAACTTTGTATCGTCCACCAGGTCCTTACTCTGAATTTTTAGATGAGTTTTCAGAGTTCCTTTCTGATTTGGTATTAAATACTGACAGGGTCATCATAGTGGGAGATTTTAACATCCATGCTGACATTGAAGGCGATAGCTTAAGAGCAGCCTTTAATGCTATCTTAGACACTATTGGCTTTGTTCAAAATGTGAATAGTCCCACGCATTCTCAACTTCATACTTTGGATCTTGTGCTGACATACGGCATAGAATGTGAAGAAATAACAGTATTTCCTCACAACCCTGTCCTCTCTGACCACTTTCTAATAACCTTCAGGATTACTTTAACAAAGTTCTCCTCCCCCAAAAGAAGGTTACATTTTAGTAGATCTTTATCAGATAGTGCAGTTATACATTTTAAAGAATCTGCTTCACTTTCTCTCTCCTCTGTGTCGCTGAGCAGTGCTGCAGAGTGCGAAAGCATAGCTTATTCCCCTTCACAGGTTGATGATTTTGTTGATGGGGTTGCTAGTTCTCTGCGTACTGCCTTAGACAACGCAGCTCCTTTGAAAATGAAAACCGTTAAAAATAGAAAGCTTGCTCCTTGGTTTAATGCAGAGCTGCGTACTTTGAAGCAAAATGCTAGGAAACTGGAGAGAAAATATCGCTCCACAGGCCTGCGAGAGTCCTTCCTAGTCTGGAAAAATGGTTTACTGCTGTATAAGAGGACCCTTTGTAAAGCAAGAGCAGCATACTTCTCCTCATTAATAGAGGAGAATAAGAATAATCCTAGATTTCTTTTTAATACAGTTGCCAAACTCACCCAGAGCCATAGCTCTGTTGAACCGTCCATTCCACCTGCTCTTAGCAGCAATGATTTTATGGGATTCTTTATAAATAAGATTGATCTTATTAAAAATAAGATCATAAGCACTCCTCTATCCGCGATTGTACCTGAGGTAGTCATGGAATCTGAACCGGGTTTAGACTGCTTTGATCCAGTTGAACTTTCTGAATTAGCAAAATTATTGTCTTCATCTAAGCCTTCAACTTGTATGTTAGATCCAGTTCCAACCAGGTTATTTAAGGAGGTATTCCCTTTGATCTCCTCCTCCATTTTAGATGTGATTAATCTATCTCTGTTACAGGGATATGTACCTAAAGCTTTTAAGGTTGCTGGAATTAAACCTCTGCTTAAGAAACCGTCTCTTGACCCAGATGACTTGGTCAATTATAGACCTATATCCAATCTTCCTTTCTTATCCAAAATTCTTGAGAAAGTAGTTGCTAAACAAGTTTGCGATCACTTCCACCATAATGAACTTTTTGAAGAGTTTCAGTCTGGCTTTAGAGCTCATCATAGCACTGAAACAGCTCTGGTGAAAGTCACTAATGATATTCTCATGGCCTCAGATACTGGACTTGTATCTGTGCTCGTCCTGTTGGATCTTAGTGCTGCATTTGATACAGTTGACCATAATATTCTTTTAGAAAGACTTGAATATTTTGTTGGAATTAAAGGAACAGCTCTAGACTGGTTTAAATCTTATCTATCTGATCGAATTCAGTTTGTTCATGTTAATGATAGATCTTCAACACGCTCAAAGGTTACCTGTGGAGTACCACAGGGATCAGTGCTAGGACCAATTCTCTTTACTTTATACATGCTCCCAATTGGTAGAGTTATTAGACAGCATGGGATTAATTTCCACTGTTATGCTGATGATACCCAGCTATATCTGTCTATAAATCCAGATGAAGCTAACCCATTACATAGATTACAGGCATGTCTGAAGACATAAAAACCTGGATGACTCTTAACTTTCTGCTTCTGAATGCAGACAAAACAGAAGTTATAGTCTTTGGACCAGAGTCTCTGAAAAAGAAGCTGATTAGCCAGTCACTTCATTTGGATGGGATTAAACTGATTTCAGATAATAAAGTAAAAAATCTTGGCGTTGTTTTTGATCAGGACCTGTCATTTAAATCCCACATCAAAGAGGTTTCTAGAATTTCCTTCTTTCATCTGAGGAACATTGCAAAAATGAGCAATCTCCTGTCCAGGGGTGATGCTGAGAAACTAGTCCATGCATTTGTTACTTCAAGGCTGGACTATTGTAATTCTTTACTATCAGGAAGTCCACAAACTGTAGTTAAAAGCCTTCAGCTGATCCAAAATGCTGCAGCCAGAGTTCTAATGAAAATGAAAAAGAGAGATCATATCTCGCCTATCCTGGCTTCTCTTCATTGGCTTCCTGTTAAATCCAGAATAGAATTTAAAATCCTCCTTCTCACATATAGAGCCTTAAATGGCCAAGCTCCATCTGATATCAGAGATCTGATTGTTCCTTATGTTCCTAACAGAGCACTTCGCTCTCAATCTGCAGGTTTACTAGTGGTTCCTAGAACTTCTAAAAGTAGAATGGGAGGCAGATCTTTTTGTTCTCAGGCTCCTCTCCTGTGGAACCAACTCCCAGTTTTAGTCCGTGAGGCAGACACCCTGTCTACTTTTAAGGCTAGGCTTAAAACTTTCCTTTTTGATAAAGCTTCTAGTTAGAGTGGCTCAGGTTATCCTGATCTATCTCTATAGTTCTGCTGCTATAGGCTTAGACTTTTGGAGGACATAGGGACCCCTTTTTCATCATTCTGCTTCATTCTCTCGCTGTTCTCCTAACTGCAGAATCTGTTAGTTCAATCTCTAACCTTCTGCTCTCTCTGCTTTTCCTCAGAGTAGCTTTGCCTCGTCTGTTCCTGTTTGGCTGTGACGTCATCCTGGAAAGAAACATCAGCTGTGCTGCTTCTATCAACACCCTTGTTTATAGATGTTGGAGATCGGCCTGTTTTCCAGTGTGGTCCTGTTTCTCTGACCGTGACTGGCTGGATGTGCTCTCTTCATCCTCTGGCATGGGAGCTGCCTTGGAGCTCGTCTGCCTGGCTGTGTGTTTCCTGGACGGGGCCGCCTTTTACAGCTGCTTTTTCTATGTCTGCTTCTGTCTCCTTGAACCCCAGTGGGCCTCAGCAGATGGCTGCTCACACTAAGCCTGGTTCTGCTGGAGGTTTCTTCCTGTTCAAAGGGAGTTTTTCCTTTCCACTGTCGCTACAAGCATGCTTAGTGTGAGGGATTGCTGAAGAGTCAATGAGTCAATGCAATCAACTGGTTTTCCTTAGATAGAAAACTTTGTATCAATTTGACTGTATGATCTGGTTGAACTGGAAAGTGCCTTGAGATGACATGTGTTGTGAATTTGGCGCTATATAAATAAACTGAATTGAATTGAATTGCTCTGACCATGTCGCTGACCACGGCTCTGACCATGGTCATGACATCGAGTATCATCACAGGATATGTAACATTCTTCATCCAAGTTCAGAGGATCTATTGAACGTTTTCTAGGGATATTGATCAGCTTTCTGTTTCCAGGTAGATTTATTGGCCGACCTCCACTTCAGGGTTTTATTCCTTTGAAAGCAATCAAAGATGTAAAACCTGAAGACATCCTGACTGAAAGCTGACAGACGTCCAGTCGCTTGGTTCTAAGATTTAGGGCGGTGACCCCGGTTACAGAGCTGCTGCAGGTCAAAGGATTTCATTTTTCCAATGCATGATGGGAAGTTGGCTCTGGTAACGCTAGAGCAGGAGACTGGAGGTGATCTGAGAACATGGAAATGTTCTCAGATCATCATCAACATGACCTCAGCACCTCGACCCAAACAACATTTCAACATAAAGATCAGACCTTAGCAAACATCTTGAGTCTGGAGCTTGGGTCTCTGGACGTGGTCACCATCACTTTGGGATCTTCCACCCCGGCCCACTTGTACTCGTCATCCATGTGAGAACTGACGCCTGAGGAACAGAAGAGCCGAGGGTCAGAGCAGCTGAGAGGGAGAACATGGCCGCCATCAAAGTCAGAAAGACACTCGCCTTCTGCCCCCTCGTCGTCATACTCCACCAAATTCTGCAGCCCCAGGGCATCTTTGCGGACCTCAGATGGCAGCGGAGCGTTTTCTGTGGACATAAACAGGAGCGCGTTACAGCATGGCGGCTGCTGATGCAGAATAACAGAGGAAGAGGCGGCGAGGCGCGTTGGTCTCACTGTCAAGGGCGTCCTTCAGCTTTAGCTTCTTCTCCTCTATTGTTCGCAACCGGTCCTCCTGCGCCTTCCTGTACAGGTACTCCCGCCTCAGCCTCACCTCACGACGGAGCTATGACATCATCACAGAGAGACAGACAGAGGGTAATAAACTAGAGCAGTTTTCACCATAACACCACCACAGCCTTAAGCTTTAGAAGATTTCATGCATGTTTAGTCACTATTCTGGATTATTCTGCTTCAGATTTAGACAGAGAAACATTCCAACCATCAAAGCTGAAAGTTTCTAACCAAACCTCCCTTTCAGCCGGGCAATTTTTGAGGCGATTTTCCAACCGTGCGAGAATCTTTCGATTGGGCCGACTTTCACGCTGATCGTGCATCATGTAGTGTGCAGGGGGCAATGAGGGGCCATCAGCCTCTAATGACCCCCTCCCCATCAGGAATCGTAAGGGCAGGAGTAAATCTAATCGCTCAGTGGGCAACAAGGATTCTGCTTCTTCTTCTTCCTCTCAGAGGAAAACCCAGCAGCATGGCGGGGGTTTGGGTGAAACAGAGTTCTGTCAAACTGTCAGACCGTAGTAGCCACGTTAGCTCAGCCATGTCTTTGTCCAAATACGTCGTCTCCTTTTCTTTTTAGGGCTTTCAGCACTAAATTGCCCAAATATCCAAGGCAGCGCGTTTCACTCTAGTGAGCTTCATGTTCCTCTGCTACTGGTTTGGCTTCCTGATAGACGAGTCCGAGTAGCGCCATCTCACTGCGGAGCTGAGTCCCACCTGGTTTTTAGACGTACAGTGTGAGCAGGTAGATCGCATCAGAGCGTTGTGCTGCACAAACATCGTGAGCTGTGAGCTCACACTGTACGAGTAAACTAGAGACTGAAATTTTTTCGGGATTCCCGTGGGATGGGAGTCAGTATTAGTAACGATCGCGTGATCGGGACGGTACAGGATGAAACATTAACGGGAGCAAACCAATAGCAACTAAAAAAAACTAGGATCGATAATAAAATAAAATAGAAAGAAAAAAAATCCAGTACTGGCGCCGCCATTTTGTAGTTTTTTTTCCTTGAAGCCTACACTATAATGCGAGTCAAAAAAACTACAGGACCCAAAAACCAACAGTGCTTCCGCTCTGAGTTTTTCACCCGCGCTCAAAAACAACCAGAATGGGAGGGGTGCAGGAGCAGGAGTCATTCAGAATGGGAGCGGGATGGGAGGGAGTAATTTCACCAGGAGTGGGACGGGACAGGATTTAGATTTCTACTCTGGCCAGGGATCGGGACGGGACACCATTTTTTTCTGTGGGAGTGGGACGGGACAGGAGTGAAAATCCACTCCTGTGTCTCTAGAGTAAACCGCAGGGTTTACTCGTACAGTGTGGGAAAAAAAAAAAAAAAAAAAATCATCGCAGTGAACGCCCGGCTTTACCGTCCTTTACACTGAATTCACTGCTGAGCAAACGACTGCGACCTGAAGACGCATCATTGATCCCCACCCCTGATCTACTACATGTTGATCTATAACATGTCTGATCTATAACATGTTGATCTATAACATGTTGATCTATAACATGTCTGATCTATAACATGTCTGATCTATAACATGTTGATCTATAACATGTTGATCTATAACATGTTGATCTATAACATGTCTGATCTATAACATGTTGATCTATAACATGTCTGATCTATAACATGTTGATCTATAACATGTTGATCTATAACATGTCTGATCTATAACATGTCTGATCTATAACATGTTGATCTATAACATGTTGATCTATAACATGTCTGATCTATAACATGTTGATCTATAACATGTCTGATCTATAACATGTTGATCTACAACATGTTGATCTATAACATGTCTGATCTACAACATGTTGATCTATAACATGTCTGATCTATAACATGTCGATCTATAACATGTTGATCTATAACATGTCTGATCTATAACATGTTGATCTATAACATGTCTGATCTACAACATGTTGATCTATAACATGTCTGATCTACAACATGTTGATCTATAACATGTCTGATCTACAACATGTTGATCTATAACATGTCTGATCTACAACATGTCTGATCTATAACATGTTGATCTATAACATGTCTGATCTACAACATGTTGATCTATAACATGTCTGATCTACAACATGTTGATCTATAACATGTCTGATCTACAACATGTTGATCTATAACATGTCTGATCTACAACATGTTGATCTATAACATGTCTGATCTACAACATGTTGATCTATAACATGTTGATCTACAACATGTTGATCTATAACATGTCTGATCTACAACATGTTGATCTATAACATGTCTGATCTATAACATGTTGATCTATAACATGTTGATCTATAACATGTCTGATCTACAACATGTTGATCTATAACATGTCTGATCTACAACATGTTGATCTATAACATGTCTGATCTACAACATGTTGATCTACAACATGTCTGATCTACAACATGTTGATCTATAACATGTCTGATCTACAACATGTCTGATCTACAACATGTTGATCTATAACATGTCTGATCTATAACATGTCTGATCTATAACATGTTGATCTATAACATGTCTGATCTACAACATGTTGATCTATAACATGTCTGATCTATAACATGTCTGATCTATAACATGTTGATCTATAACATGTTGATCTATAACATGTCTGATCTATAACATGTTGATCTATAACATGTTGATCTATAACATGTCTGATCTATAACATGTCTGATCTATAACATGTTGATCTATAACATGTTGATCTATAACATGTCTGATCTATAACATGTTGATCTATAACATGTTGATCTATAACATGTCTGATCTATAACATGTCTGATCTATAACATGTTGATCTACAACATGTTGATCTATAACATGTCTGATCTACAACATGTTGATCTATAACATGTCTGATCTACAACATGTTGATCTATAACATGTCTGATCTACAACATGTTGATCTATAACATGTCTGATCTACAACATGTCTGATCTATAACATGTTGATCTATAACATGTCTGATCTACAACATGTTGATCTATAACATGTCTGATCTATAACATGTTGATCTACAACATGTTGATCTATAACATGTCTGATCTACAACATGTTGATCTATAACATGTCTGATCTATAACATGTTGATCTATAACATGTTGATCTATAACATGTCTGATCTACAACATGTTGATCTATAACATGTCTGATCTACAACATGTTGATCTATAACATGTCTGATCTACAACATGTTGATCTACAACATGTCTGATCTACAACATGTCTGATCTACAACATGTTGATCTATAACATGTCTGATCTACAACATGTTGATCTATAACATGTCTGATCTATAACATGTTGATCTATAACATGTCTGATCTATAACATGTTGATCTATAACATGTCTGATCTACAACATGTTGATCTCTAACATGTCTGATCTACAACATGTTGATCTACAACATGTTGATCTATAACATGTCTGATCTATAACATGTTGATCTATAACAGGTCTGATCTACAACATGTCTGATCTACAACATGTTGATCTATAACATGTCTGATCTATAACATGTTGATCTATAACATGCCTGATCTATAACATGTCTGATCTATAACATGTTGATCTATAACATGTCTGATCTACAACATGTCTGATCTACAACATGTTGATCTATAACATGTCTGATCCATAACATGTCTGATCTACAACATGTCTGATCTATAACATGTCTGATCTACAACATGTCTGATCTACAACATGTCTGATCTATAACATGTCTGATCTATAACATGTCTGATCTACAACATGTTGATCTATAACATGTCTGATCTATAACATGTCTGATCTATAACATGTCTGATCTACAACATGTCGGATCTACAACATGTCTGATCTATAACATGTCTGATCTACTATATGTCGGATCTATAACATGTCTGATCTATAACATGTCTGATCTACAACATGTCTGATCTACAACATGTCTGATCTACAACATGTTGATCTATAACATGTCTGATCCATAACATGTCTGATCTACAACATGTCTGATCTATAACATGTCTGATCTACAACATGTCTGATCTACAACATGTCTGATCTATAACATGTCTGATCTATAACATGTCTGATCTATAACATGTCTGATCTACAACATGTTGATCTATAACATGTCTGATCTACAACATGTTGATCTATAACATGTCTGATCTACAACATGTTGATCTATAACATGTCTGATCTACAACATGTTGATCTATAACATGTCTGATCTACTATATGTCGGATCTATAACATGTCTGATCTATAACATGTCTGATCTACAACATGTCTGATCTACAACATGTCTGATCTACAACATGTTGATCTATAACATGTCTGATCCATAACATGTCTGATCTACAACATGTTGATCTATAACATGTCTGATCTATAACATGTCTGATCTACAACATGTCTGATCTACAACATGTCTGATCTATAACATGTCTGATCTATAACATGTCTGATCTATAACATGTCTGATCTACAACATGTCTGATCTACAACATGTCTGATCTATAACATGTCTGATCTATAACATGTCTGATCTACAACATGTTGATCTATAACATGTCTGATCTATAACATGTCTGATCTACAACATGTCTGATCTACAACATGTCTGATCTATAACATGTCTGATCTATAACATGTCTGATCTATAACATGTCTGATCTACAACATGTTGATCTATAACATGTCTGATCTACAACATGTTGATCTATAACATGTCTGATCTACAACATGTCTGATCTACAACATGTTGATCTATAACATGTCGATCTACAGCATGTCGATCTACAACATGTCGATCTACAGCATGTCGATCTATGACATGTCGATCTATAACATGTCGATCTACAACATGTCGATCTACAACATGTCGATCTACAGCATGTCGATCTATAACATGTCGATCTACAACATGTCGATCTACAACATGTCGATCTACAACATGTCGATCTACAGCACGTCGATCTACAACATGTCGATCTATAACATGTCGATCTACAACATGTCGATCTACAGCATGTCGATCTACAGCATGTCGATCCATAAACATGTTGCTCTATAACATGTTGCTCTATAACATGTTGATCTATAACATGTCGATCTACAACATGTCGATCCATAAACATGTTGCTCTATAACATGTTGCTCTATAACATGTTGCTCTATAACATGTTGATCTATAACATGTTGATCTATAACATGTTGCTCTATAACATGTTGATCTATAACATGTTGATCTACAACATGTCTGATCTACAACATGTTGATCTACAACATGTTGATCTATAAACATGTTGCTCTATAACATGTTGCTCTATAACATGTTGATCTATAACATGTTGATCTATAACATGTTGATCTATAACATGTCTGATCTGCTACCATTATTCTTTGTAAGGACAAAGTTAGCAAAGTTTAAACATTTCTAATCAGCAGCAGCAAAATCTGATTGATCTGATTCTGGAGCTGGGAGCAGATCTATAGGGTCTAGATACAGGATGAGGAGGAGGAGGAGAAAGGAGTAGAAACCATCAGAGAAGGAAAGCAGAGGAGCAGCTTTTGTCCTCAGTGCCGAACCGAGAAGCTCTAATGGAGCCTTTCATCAAAACATCTGATCATGGTGGACAGCCTGCTAGCTTCTCTTAGCCTGCTAGCTCCTCTTGGCCTGCTAGCTCCTCTTATCTGCCTGCTCGATGACAGCATGGCGGACATTTCTAAAGGTAGAAACAATCTTCGCGTCAAACTGCAGCATTAATGTTGCTTTAACTCACCATGCTGGCGGAGCTGCTAGCTTCAGCTGACGGACTCACGTGGAGGAAAGAAAACTAGCAGACAGCAATGCCTCCTCTGATTGGCTGAACAAAGCAGCCAATGAAAAGCGTTGGTACTGACCTAAACAAGCTTTTCAAAATAAAAGTCTCCTATCCATTTTATTAAGGCTTCCGATGATTTTTTTATATCGTATTTTATCTGATTTCATTTTTTTAATTTGTCTTTTACGGTGGCTGAGAAGTGCAAAACACATTTACAATTCAAAAGCACATTAACAAATAAAAAACAAAATAACATTTGAAGAAACAAAATTATATTTTATGAAACAAATGTATTTTTGGAAAAAAAAGTAAAAATTTTTAAAAACAAATTTACATTTTAGGAAACAAATTCACATTTTAAATAAGTTAGATTTTAGGTGAGAGAAAGTTTAATTTTAGAGAAAAAAATACATTATAGGGAAACAAATTTACATCTAAAATTTGTTCGGAAACACTTGTACAAGTGCAAAGACAAAACTGCAAGTGGCAAAACACAGTTACATAGCCAAAAACAAATGAACAAAAGACGGCTACACGGAAAGGGAATGTCCCAGTGGCCGGATGTGACGTCACGACTACCCTGACTTGTAGTACAAACAGCTCAATCTGTAGTCCTCCTGCTTCACGTGAAAAGTCAGCGGCGTTCATTCCCTATAATGTATTTTTTTCCTATAAAAAGAAACTTTCTCTCACCTAAAATCTAACTTATGTAAAATGTGAATTTGTTTTTAAAAATTGTAACTTTTTTTTTCCAAAAAGATTTGTTTCATAAAATATAATTTTGTTTCTTTAAATGTTATTTTGTTTTTTATTTGTTAATGTGTTTTTGAATGGTAAATGTGTTTTGCACTTCTCAGCCACCGTAGTCTTTACCTCTAGGTAGATATTCACAGATAGATGTCCTCTGCAGGGACACTGTACCTCTTGGTAGATATTAATATATATATTAGGAGGAATCCCCACAGACCTCAGATCCCATCAGTCCTGGGGGGGGGGGTGTGTGGGCTCTGTGTTTACATCATCAACAGCTGGTGTTAAAATGCTGGATCAGTTTCCAGCTTCTGCTCTCCAGGCTCAGAGCTTCTGACTGTTAACTGCGGGCCGTTCTATCTGCCCAGAGAGTTCAGTGTGGTTAGCATCACTGCTGTTTATGTGCCCCCCATCGCTAACACTAAAGAGGCCATAAAGGCTCTATACCAGGCTATCTCTGAGCTCCAACCTGCACAGAGGCTGTTTCCATCATTGCTGGGGATTTTAACCAGGCTAACATGAAGACTGTTCTCCCTCATTTCTACCAACATGTGGACTTTGCAACTTGAGCACAAAACACGCTGGTTGTAGCCTACTCTAATATTAAAGATGCAGCCCCCCCCCCCCCCCCCCCCCCCCCCGCCCCCACCTCGGGTCATCAGACCACCTTCCTATCATGCCAATTTCTGCATACAGGCCCCAGCTGACCAGGGCTAAACCGACAGTTAAAGAGGTCAGAGTGTGGTCTGAGGGCGCCATGGAAACACTCCAAGATGTTTTGAATGCTCTGACTGGAACATCTTCAAGGCTGCAGCAACATATGATAACTTATTAAATATTGATGAGTCTGCCATGACTGTGTCAGCCTGCATCAACAAATGCATTGAGGATGTCAGCATCACAAAGAACATCACCACCCGGGCCAACCAACCACCCTGGATGAATGGAGAGGTTCAGATATCGCTAAAAACACCGAACTCAGCTTTCAAGTCTGGTGATAAATAGGCACTGAGAACAGCGGGTGGCGACTTAAACCATCAGATCAGGGAAGCAGAACCACAGCCAGAAGTTCCAGGATCTTTTCCACGATGACAGCAACACCAGGAGGATGAGGAAAGGCATTCGGATGATCACAGACTGCAACATACCCTCCCCCCCGGTAGATGCAGCAAACACTGATTTCCTAAATGAACTGAACAACTTCTTTGGAAGGTTTGAGGCACTAAACAGCCTCCAGCAGTGAAAGCTGTTCCACAGCAGGGGGAGGAGGCACTAAACCTGGACGCAGCTGAAGGGAGGAAAACTCTGAGGAGAGTCAACCCAAGGAAGGCCCCAGGGCCTGATAACACACCTGGGCAGGTGTATAAGGAGTGGTCAGATCAGCTGGCTGGTGTCCTCACAGACATCTTTAACACCTGGCTGGACCAATCCATAGTGCCAGCATGCTTCCCGTCTGCCTCCATTATTCCAGTCCCAAAGAAGCCTCAGGTCGCCTCCCTCAATGATTAGCGGCCTGTCGCTCTGACTCCCATCATGATGAAGTGCTTCCAAAGGCTGGTTAAAGAACACACCGTCTCCAGTCTGCCGCCAACATTCCACCCGTTCCAGTTCGCATACCGACGGAACCGCTCCACTGAGGACGCCATCTCTGCTGCTCTCCACCTGAGCCTGGCACACCTGGAGGAGAAGAACACCCACGATGGATGCTGTTCCTGGACTTCAGTTCAGCTTTCAGCACCATCATCCCACAGCATCTGATGGGCAAACTGGAACGGCTGGGCTTCAATACACCCCTCTGCTATTGGCTGCTAGACTTCCTCACCAACAGACCTCAGTCAGTCCGGGTCGGACCTCTGATGTCATCGGTCTAAGCCCCTCCCCTCAGGGCTGCGTCCTGAGCCCCCTGCCGTTCACCCTGATGACGCACGACTACGTCCCCAGGTTCACCACCGATCACATGGTGAAGTTTGCAGACGACACCACGGCGGTGGGCCTCATCAGAGACGACAACGACCTGGACTACAGAGAGGAGGTGGAGCAGCTGGTGGAGCAGAGATAACAGCCTGATCCTGAAGGTGGAGAAGACCAAGGAGATCATGGTGGACTTCAGGAAGAAGCGGCCTAACCACGCTCCACTGCTCATCAACAGCTCAGCTGTAGAGGTGGTCATTCATCACAGACACCCTCACCTGGACTGGAAACACCACCTCACTGGTCCAAAGGGCCCAGAAGCGCTTGGACTTCCTGCAGAGGATGACTTTTATTTGCTCCATGTTTTTTCTTTATGGAATGGAAATGTTCTGAAAGTTGCACTAAATGAAATGTCATTCTGTTTACACTCTGTTTTATACAGAATGACATTAAAAGTTGTCTCAGTCTAAGTCAGCATGACTTGAGGTAATTTTCGTTCTTGAGAGTTTGTCCAATCAGTCCACAGGTGTTTTGTGAGCCTGGAGAAGGCATTCAATTGTGTCCCTTGTTGCCCTTTGGGGGGCCTAGGGCCCATCTAGGGCCCATCTAGTCTCTGTACAAGCAAAGAAGGAGTTTAGATTTCTAGTTGCTGCTAATGGCCAGAGGGGGTCTAGTTCGGGGACCAGTGGATCTAGTCCATGCGTTTTGTGGAAGACGTTGTTCTTCTGGCTCCGTCCTACCTGGACCTACAGCAGGACGTGGAGCGGGTCAAAGCAGAATGAGAAGCAGCCTGAAGAACAATGGTCTCCTCCCAGTCTGAGGCTATGGTTCTGGTTCTCCACCACCAGGAGGTCATTTAAAGTCCCAGTCGATTCATTTCATAAGGCCCTGAAGCTAACCTTCACCCTAAACTAAAACATCCTTTATAAATAGCACGGAACAGATAGCAGCTCCGTGTGGTTAGACATTTCCTGTAGCTTGCTCACCTTATTTAGAGCTTCTCTTCCGCCAAACGTTGCCTTTCTATTTCAACTGGTCTACGTGCAAGACAACAGAAAATGCGTCTCTTAATTCTGGTGCTTGTTTTGGAAATGGGTGAGTGTCAAACTCATACCCAAATTGTTTCTGCTGATCTAACAATAGAACTTTCAGCATCTTTACTGTTATTTATCTTATTTAGAGAAAACAGCTTCAGCCGCTTACAAACTCCTTTAATTTTATAGAAATCATTTGTTCTCCGGATCATTTTCTTTCTTTTTTAGTGGAATGCTTTCAAATGATTTCAGAGTTTTCTGTCTGTGATCAGGTGACGCAGTGTTTTGGCAGAGGCTCTCCTGTCCCTACGAAGCAAAGCAGCAGGACCTGCTCAGGGTCCTCTGCAGGCGGACTTCTGCAGACTGCTGCTCGGGCCTCGCCTTCAGGCCCACCTCCCTGTCAGCTGATGGAGGCAACCTGAGGGTGACCCAGGACACACTGTCCTTCTCTGTGGAGCTGCTGCAGCCGACCACTAGAGAAGGAGTTTACTGGTGTGGCCTGTTGGGAAGAAATGACACCATCATCAAGCTGGCTGAAAGCTATTTTCACCACAGTGAGTAAAACTGAAGCTTAGCAGTGGATGGAAGACAGTTTTTTAACAGGTAGCAGACCTGAATCTAAGCACACGAGGAGAAACAAACTGCATCTGATGATGTAGAGAAATTAACAAACAGTCAAAGGAAACTAAAAAAAAAATGCCTTTAGTCTTAGTTTAAACCCACCAGAGAATCAACACTTTTACAGCATTTTCTGAGTATTTTTTCTTATAAGTTGTGAGAAATAAATGCTGCTTGTTTGATATTTGATTTAAACCGTAATAGAAAAGTAGAGATGAAATAAAAACTAGCAGTAGATTTGGAAACGTCCAGATCAAAAGCAGCAAGCTATTAAAATAGGTTAATGAAAGCGTTTTAGGAGAAGCGTTGGGACGGCCTGGAACAGCTCTGTAGTGTCAGAGGTCATTACATTTAATGAATCAACCACTGGCGGGTTAAGCCTAACCTAACCCCAACACGCCTCCCCTAAAACACGGGAGAGTCACAGTGCATCTCGTCTGCCATGCAGCATTTGACCACAGACTGCCTCCTGCAGTAATCTGCCATCTTGTGGGGTGTAGGTGTAGTTACAACTTAAAGTCCTGCTCAAAGTAACTTCTTGTACATTTTCTCTTTTAAAAAATAACAAATAAATTAATGTGATCTTAGCTTAGTATGCCACACATTCCCTGGCAGAAGATAATAGCTCCTATCATAACAAAATACTAAAAAATACTTCTAAGATTTTACCCAAACCCAAAAATCCAACATGAAAGTAAAGAAAGCTGAGGTGCATCTAAACAGACGCGAAGCCTGCTTCCTACATATGAGATGTTTGAGCAGCAGAGTCAGGTGTTCATCCGTCTCCTGTAGATTCTCCATATCCAGGTTGGCAGAAAGCTTGAGGGGAGATAGTTTATTGAAGGCTTCTTCCATATGAAACAGGAAGTCCTCCGCTGCCCCACGAGGTCCTCTACTGGTCTTCTGCTGCACCACTGGTCCTCCGCTGCCCCACTGGTCCTCCGCTGACCCACGAGGTCATCCGCTGCCCCACAAGGTCCTCTGCTGACCCACGAGGTCATCCGCTGACCCACATGGTCCTCCGCTGACCCACGAGGTCATCCGCTGACCCACATGGTCCTCCGCTGACTCACGAGGTCATCCGCTGCCCCACGAGGTCATCCGCTGCCCAACATGGTCCTCCGCTGACCCACATGGTCCTCCGCTGACCCACGAGGTCATCCGCTGCCCCAGGAGGTCATCCGCTGCCCCACAAGGTCATCCGCTGACCCACATGGTCCTCCGCTGACCCACGAGGTCATCCGCTGACCCACATGGTCCTCCGCTGACCCACGAGGTCTTCCGCTGCCCCACGAGGTCATCCGCTGACCCACATGGTCCTCCGCTGACTCACGAGGTCATCCGCTGCCCCACGAGGTCATCCGCTGCCCAACATGGTCCTCCGCTGACCCACATGGTCCTCCGCTGACCCACGAGGTCATCCGCTGCCCCACGAGGTCATCCGCTGACCCACATGGTCCTCCGCTGACCCACGAGGTCATCCGCTGACCCACGAGGTCATCCGCTGCCCCACGAGGTCATCCGCTGACCCACATGGTCCTCCGCTGCCCCACGAGGTCTTCAGCTGACCCAAGAGGTCTTCCTCTGACCCACGAGGTCTTCCGCTGCCCCACGAGGTCTTCCGCTGCCCCACCAGGTCTTCCTCTGACCCACCAGGTCTTCCGCTGCCCCACGAGGTCTTCCTCTGACCCACCAGGTCTTCCGCTGCCCCACGAGGTCTTCCGCTGCCCCACGAGGTCATCCGCTGCCCCACGTGGTCATCCGCTGCCCGGCGAGGTCATCCGCTACCCGGCGAGGTCATCCGCTGCCCCACGAGGTCATCCGCTGCCACACAAGGTCCTCTGCTGACCCACGAGGTCTTCCGCTGCCCCACGAGGTCTTCCGCTGACCCACGAGGTCTTCCTCTGACCCACGAGGTCTTCCGCTGCCCCACGAGGTTTTCCGCTGACCCACGAGGTCTTCCGCTGACCCACGAGGTCTTCCTCTGACCCACGAGGTCTTCCGCTGCCCCACGAGGTCTTCCTCTGACCCACCAGGTCTTCCGCTGCCCCACGAGGTCTTCCTCTGACCCACCAGGTCTTCCTCTGACCCACAAGGTCTTCCGCTGCCCCACGAGGTCCTCTAAAGCCTACAGTCCATCACAGCAGGACATTTTCCTTTCAGAGGAGAAAAGAGGCCCCTAACAGTGTCATTATATTCACCATGATCTGGAAGGGTGTGAGCACCATTCCTCTCTCTGGTCAATCCACTGGCTTTGACTTTCGCTGCCAGGATAAGCTGAATCTGGCGGTGAGTCTGAATGATTTCGCTGCACAGAGCTACCGGCTCCTTCCCAAACGGTTTGCTTCTCTTGAGGGTTTGGCAGCAGCGTCATCAGGAGTCCAGGCAGCCTCTATCATAGGAGGTAGAGTCGGTGGATCAGTGACTGTTTGCTTTTAATGTTGTAGAAGCCAATATGTACAAAGTCTGCATAAGAGAGGAAATGATGTGCGAGTGGGTTTCACCAGAAAAGGTTTTGACCGCTTGGCTGGGAAACGCTGTCAACCCACAGCTGGTTGTTTGCAGTGATGGGCAGTAGCGCCGCTACATGTAGCGAAGCTATTAGTTTAACTACATTTTCCAGTAGCTTGACCGTAGCGTCGCTGCTTTATTTATCAAGTAACTTTCCTGTAGCGACGTTATTGTTTTGATCAAATAGCGACGTAGCGTCCACAAACGCTACAAAATCCAGGGCATAACTAAGAAATGAAACCAGGTTTTCTATTTCTAAACAACAATCAGCCACAAAGCTACTGTAAAAAGCAGTTTCAGCTGACGCTCTTATAAGTGGCGTAGTAGCGGAGGCACACTCAGTAGGGTTAAACAAGCGCACCCTTTCCGAGTCTGTCGTTCTATTGGCTGGAAAGGTTGCTAGGCAACGATCCAACTGCAGTCTGAGAGAGAGCAAATCAAATCCACAAGCAGAGCCTACGGGTTTGCGAGCGTAACAGAGCGCGGTTTGTGCGCGAAGAGAAGGAGGCAAGCGAGAGGAGAAAATATCTGTGCAAGAAGCATTAAATCTGAGAGAAGAAACAAAGATTTGAGAAAGAAGAGAAAATATTTGAGAGAGAGCGCATGTTTTGAGTGTGAGCATTATAAGTTTTGAGAGCAAGAAGATGAAATTCTTTTCTCAAATTGAAATGATGTGCTCTTGGATTATGGCAGGATAATTCTCCCATATCTATGTGCCACTAAGATACTCTAATTAGAAATCTGTTTTTAGGCTGTGCACAGATAAGATTTTTTATGGAGGAACAGCTCTACCGTATATAAAATAAATACATAAATAAATAAATGCTCAATAAATAAATAAATAAGCATTCAATTAATTGCCTCCAAAAATACAATGAATAAATATGTAGGTAGAAATTAAATTATATGGTGAGACATATATATATGTATCTCTTAATTAGCTTCTTTATTTTTTCACCTTCTTTTGTAAACAGTTTTGTTTGTTACTTGAATCGACTGTTTAATTGAGGTCTGAAGAAGTTTTCTCTAAGGGAGACCCTAAAGAAATAAGATGCCTTTTTTAGGGTTTTGTTTTCCCTAGAGATGTCCATTGAATGCAAACTCATAGCCATGTCTCCATGTGTAGAACACTACACAGTACCTTTAATTTGGTTCTAATAACAGCAGATTGTTTACTAGTTTGTCTACTAGTAATTACTTTAGTTTTTATTTTAATATGCTGATCATAAAGCAATGTTTACACTGTGTTATGTCATTGGCTGATCTTTAATAAATGTTTTAACCAGTGATTCAGACTCATTTTGAATTGACATTAGGTTGGTACAACGTTAAGTAGCTTCTGATGTAGTTAAGCTACTTTTAACACATTAGTGTAACTTAGCTTGCTATAATTCTTTAGGTGGTAGCTTTTGTGTAGTGAAGCTTCATTTATTGTTGAGTAACTGATAGCTTAGCTCACTACACTGGACAAGTAGCTTGCCCAACACTGGTTGTTTGTATCAGTTTTTGTTTGATAAACAAGCAAAGTTGGAATAAATTGGGTTTTAACTGCAATAACAGCGTCTGGGCATTTCCTGTTTACCATCTCATCCCGGCAAATACGCCTCAACCGTAAGATTCCCGTACTCCATGAACCACGGATTATTTGAACGAGGCACATAAACCTGACATGGATTGAGGTGTTTAACAATATTTAATATTATGACGTTTAGCAGATCATCCATATTTAGACGGCGCCAAGTTTGCTGATCAAATGGGAACAAAATCCTTGGTTAAGTCAGAGCTTGTTAGAGAGTAGTTATAAAATGAACAGTTAAAAAGGCCCCTCAGTCATGGAGAAGCTGCAGAACATTTGAACTGAACTAATAGTGTAAATGGCAGCATGACGTCACTAAAGCGACATCTAAAGACAAACGTCAGAACCTTAACAGGCTGGCAATGGCGTAACTATCAGTAAGCAGAGACTGCAGGGGCCCCCGACCTATTAGGGGCCCCGTCACTGACACGATAGTGAGCCGTTTAAACACCAACAGCAAAGCCGACAGCGGGACTTCTAATTACTGTTAATAACTGTGTTTAGTTCATTAGACGGTTGGTTAAAAATACACTCATGTTTCAAACTGCAATCTTAAAAGAACGAGTATTTGAGTATTTTATTTTTTACACTACGACTTGGAATTATGGGTAATCCAGAGCCTAGATTGGGGTGTCATATGGGGCCCACCCAGATAATGTTATGTTGTTACGCCATTGCAGTCAGACGCTGGTGAGGCAGCGGCTAAAGGACCAAGTTAAAGGTTTCAGCGCTCTGTGGGGGCGGAGCTGCAAAGGTTTGATCGCTTCCGCCTGAGAAACACCGACTCCACAAGGAGCGAAGCTTCGACTTCCAACCTTCTACGGTTGTGACCAAAGTCTGAGCTCCAAGCTAACGTCTTGAGATGCTGCTTCACCGTTTCCTCATCATGCCGGTTATTTAGCACCGCCCCCCCCGGCCCTGCAGCAGGAACATCCTCCAGATGTGATGGGGGTCATGGCCAAAGATCTTCCCCTTAGATCCATCAGACCTTCACCAGAGCCTCTGCAAGCTTCACTCTGGCCTTCATGACATCACATCTAGAAACTGATAGATTTATTCTCTTCTCCTGATTCCACATCTGTAACATTTGAGAAAATATTCAAGAAGCTTCTGAAAGTAAGGCGTCTGTGTTTTTACGTTCTCTGCAGCGTCAGCCGCGTTCATCTGGAGCATCGGTCGCTGGATTGTGCTTCCTCTCCTGCCCATCGCCACCATGTCCACTCTGCTCTGCTCCAGACGTGAGTCCTTCCTGTTTTCCCAGATGTTTTCCAGCTGCAGCTGACTGCCGTCAATGAAATGACTGGAATTATTGTCTGAACTTTCATCATTTGCTTTAAGACGCCCTCTCACCTGAACACCGACTATTAATAAAACCACAATTATTCTGACTTTCCAGAAAGAAGAGGAGCCTGATGGCGAACCAGCAGGGGGCGCCCTAACTCAGCCGGCGTTCCAGAATCCATCCCAGCAGAGCCTGCCTGGGAAACCATCCTCTCAGAATCTAGAAATAAAAACTAAACTTCTCTTTTATGAAGAAATATGTTTGCATTTATTTGACAAACAGAGTCACACGGTGTAAAGATGAAATATGTGAAGAATCTGGATGAAGCCGTCTTTCCTAAAATCACTCAGGAATGTTTTTACTTTAGTGTGAACAGGATTTTAGAATAAAGCTCCTAAAATATGTAGATCTATGTGCTTTATTTCTACATTGCTGAAGTCTCATGCTGCCTTTGAAACTCATCCTGAAATCACATGAGAGTTTAGGACCAAGCTGCAGGTTTAACTTATGAGTGAAATTCACGTCTTTGTAAACTTTTATTTCTTGGGGGGGGGGGGGGGGTCGCTCTGGATGCATTTGTTTCCATGGAAACAGTATAAGCAGCTGCATGATGGGTCCGGCTGGGGGGGGTTCTGGGTCCGGCTGGGGGGGGGTTCTGGGTCCGGGTTAGGGTTCTGGGTCCCAACAGAAACATTTAGAACAAAAGCAATAAATAAAAGACAAAGTTTTAAAAGGCTGTTGAACATCAAACCATCCGATGACGCCGTTAAGGGTCCGGTATGATAGCCGGGCAGGTTCAGACCAGACTGAGACGGTTCTCTGGCTGGTTACCATGGTTACTATTTTAACCCGGACTGGTTGCTCTCAGACCAGGAGGGAGGGATCAGTTTACAGCTTTGCCTTCAACTTCATCCTCTGACCATGAGCAGGCCAGCCTCCTAATGAGTCACCCTATGACATCATCCAGTAAACGAGTCAGGGTTAGGGCCGTATGACATCATCCAGAGTTAATGAGTCACCGTATGACGTCAGAGTAAATGAGTCACCGTATGACGTCATCGAGTAAATGAGTCGCCGTATGACGTCATCCAGTAAATGAGTCACCGTATGACGTCATCCAGTAAATGAGTCACCGTATGACGTCATCCAGTAAATGAGTCACCGTATGACATCATCCAGAGTTAATGAGTCACTGTATGACATCATTCAGTTAATGAGTCACCGTATGACGTCATTCAGTTAATGAGTCACCATATGACATCATCCAGTTGAGTCACCGTATGACATCATCCAGAGTTAATGAGAAACTGTATGATGTCATCCAGAGTTAATGATTCACTGTATGACATCATCCAGTTAATGAGTCACTGTATGACATCATTCAGTTAATGAGTCACCGTATGACGTCATCCAGTAAATGAGTCACCGTATGACATCATCCAGAGTTAATGAGTCACTGTATGACATCATTCAGTTAATGAGTCACCGTATGACGTCATTCAGTTAATGAGTCACCATATGACATCATCCAGTTAATGAGTCACCGTATGACATCATCCAGAGTTAATGAGTAACTGTATGATGTCATCCAGAGTTAATGAGTCACTGTATGACATAATCCAGAGTTAATGAGTCACTGTATGACATCATCCAGTTAATGTCACTGTATGACATCATCCAGAGTTAATGAGTCACCGTATGACATCATCCAGTTAATGAGTCACCATATGACATCATCCAGAGTTAATGAGTAACTGTATGATGTCATCCAGAGTTAATGAGTCACTGTATGACATCATTCAGTTAATGAGTCACCGTATGATGTCATCCAGAGTTAATGAGTCACTGTATGACATCATTCAGTTAATGAGTCACCGTATGACGTCATTCAGTTAATGAGTCACCATATGACATCATCCAGTTAATGAGTCACCGTATGACATCATCCAGAGTTAATGAGTAACTGTATGATGTCATCCAGAGTTAATGAGTCACTGTATGACATCATCCAGAGTTAATGAGTCACTGTATGACATCATCCAGTTAATGTCACTGTATGACATCATCCAGAGTTAATGAGTCACCGTATGACATCCAGTTAATGAGTCACCATATGACATCATCCAGAGTTAATGAGTAACTGTATGATGTCATCCAGAGTTAATGAGTCACTGTATGACATCATCCAGAGTTAATGAGTCACTGTATGACATCATCCAGTTAATGAGTCACCGTATGACGTCATCCAGAGTTAATGAGTCACTGTATGACATCATCCAGTTAATGAGTCACCGTATGACGTCATCCAGAGTTAATGAGTCACCGTATGACATCATCCAGTTAATGAGTCACCGTATGACGTCATCCAGAGTTAATGAGTCACTGTATGACGTCATCCAGTAAATGAGTCACCGTATAAAGTAAATTTTCCTAAAACAGATTCAGTCGTTTAGAGCATGCTCACATCACTATTTACAGCAAACCAAATAAAAGCTGAACCCAGAGGAACGGATGGGGTCAAAGGTCAGCCCTAAGCACCGCCCCCTGGTTGGTTGGAGTGAGAATGAGGAAGGAAGTGGGTGGATGCAGTGAGGAATATGGCTGGTGTCTCTCTGTTCTGCAAAGCAGTGAGACTTTATAGCTCCTCATAATCCCCACCGTCTCTTTTGACTGAAGCACCCCCCCCACCCAGGAAGTCCTCCAATTCATCAACTTTTGTTTTCTTGGATTTGGATTTTTTCTTCTTCTTGTCATCTCCTGCTGCAGCTTCATCTTTCTCCTTCTTCTTGTGTTTGTGTTTCTTCTTGCTCTTGTCGTCTTCCTGTGTGGAAGATAAAACGTTCATTAACTCCTGAACTATGAAGGACCAACTCTGCCATATTTAAAAATAAATACAGAAATAAATAAATGCTCAATAAATGTATAAGCATACAATTAATTGCCATCAAAAAAGTGAGACATAAATGTATATAACTCTTAATTAGCTTCTTTATTTATTTGCCTTTGTAATATTTACCTTATTTATTTTTCTGTCCTTTATAATCTTCAACTTTATTTTTTAATTACTTATATTTTTAAGTATTTATTTATGTGCATGTTATAATATTTTTGTCTGTTTTATTCTTCCTTTGTATTTTTTTACCTTAGTTATTTCTTCGCCGCTGTTCATTTCTCTCTGCCCTTTTTACATTTCTCTCTGCATTTATGCCTCATTATGCAAATGAGGAGGGGGCGTGTCCTAGAGAGTCAACTTCTGCTCATTGGTTGGCTTGGCGGCCCATCTTCTTAACTCACAGAGCTCAGAGTACTAAGTTAAATGTTCTCTTTTCTGTTGCTGTTGTTCAATAAAAGTACGTTTTAAGATAATTTGAGGCGAGAACCTTATACTTTTAAGCATCACCATATGGCCCATTCACAGATTTAATGCGTAATTTAAAAGAAAATGTGACGAACTTGAGAGGACCGTGGCAACCAGCGGAGCTCCGAAGCTGACGGCAGCCAGGTCTATAGCCAGGCTATGATGGCGATTTTTTGTTGTATTTGGCAAAGTTTGGCAAAGTCCCTACTCAAGTTCTAATGACTTCAGACTCGACATCAGACTCACCTCCTGTAGATTCGACCGATGTAGTAAAATGCTAACCAACACGCTTCACACACGGCTATGCCGAGAGAGGGCCGCTGCAGATGGGCTGTGGTTAGACCTGGCTGCCGTCAGCTTCGGAGCTTTGCTGGTTGCCACGGTCCTCTCAAGTTCGTCACATTTTCTTTTAAATTACGCATTAAATCTGTGAATGGGCCATATGGTGATGCTTAAAAGTATACGGTTCTCGCCTCAAATGATCTTAAAACATACTTTAATTGAACAACAGCAACAGAAAAGAGAACATTTAACTTAGTACTCTGAGCTCTGTGAGTTAAGAAGATGGGCCGCCAAGCCAACCAATGAGCAGAAGTTGACTCTCTAGGACACACCCCCTCCTCATTTGCATAATGAGGCATAAATGCAGAGAGAAATGTAAAAAGGGCATAGAGAAATAAACAGCGGCGAAGAAATAACTAAGGTAAAAAAATACAAAGGAAGAATAAAACAGACAAAAATATTATAACATGCACATAAATAAATACTTAAAAATATAAGTAATTAAAAAATAAAGTTGAAGATTATAAAGGACAGAAAAATAAATAAGGTAAATATTACAAAGGCAAATAAATAAAGAAGCTAATTAAGAGTTATATACATTTATGTCTCACTTTTTTGTTGGCAATTAATTGTATGCTTATACATTTATTGAGCATTTATTTATTTCTGTATTTATTTTTAAATATGGCAGAGTTGGTCCTTCATACTGAACGGATAAAGAAGCAAGTTATCTCTAATCATTCAGATTTTCCAAAATGATTAATAAAGCCATGTATGGTCAACATATCGGTTGATCCATTCATGTCCTGACGACGGCGTCTAGCCTGGTTTATTAAACTAAGGACGCATGCTCTCAGCATCGTCATCATCGTCCTCTTCCTCCCCTGAGTCAGGAGAAGCGAGCGCTTCAGGAGGTGGAGGCAGTAGCAGCAGCTCAACAACAACTGCTGCTGACCTGATCAAGGCTGCACTTTAAAAAATGAAATTGTCTGGAGAGCTGCTCTAAACAAAATATCTTTCTGTTTACACTTGTGTACAAAATAAATCCGTCTAATGCTGCCGCTCCATCATATGAACCATGCAGCTACACTATATTGCCAAAAGTATTTGCTCACCCATCCAAATTATTGGAATCAGGTGTTCCAATCACTTCCATGGCCACAGGTGTATAAATTCAAGCACCTAGGCATGCAGACTGTTTTTACAAACATTTGTGAAAGAATGGGTCGCTCTCAGGAGCTCAGTGAATTCCAGCGTGGAACTGTGATAGGATGCCACCTGTGCAACAAATCCAGTCGTGAAATTTCCTCGCTCCTAAATATTCCACAGTCAACTGTCAGCTGTATTATAAGAAAATGGAAGTGTTTGGGAACGACAGCAACTCAGCCACGAAGTGGTAGGCCACGTAAACTGACGGAGCGGGGTCAGCGGATGCTGACGCGCATAGTGCGAAGAGGTCGCCAACTTTCTGCAGAGTCAATCACTACAGACCTCCAAACTTCATGTGGCCTTCAGATTAGCTCAAGAACAGTGCGCAGAGAGCTTCATGGAATGGGTTTCCATGGTCGAGCAGCTGCATCCAAGCCATACATCACCAAGTGCAATGCAAAGCGTCGGATGCGGTGGTGTAAAGCACGCCGCCACTGGACTCTAGAGCAGTGGAGACGCGTTCTCTGGAGTGACGAATCGCGCTTCTCCATCTGGCAATCTGATGGACGGGTCTGGGTTTGGCGGTTGCCAGGAGAACGGTACTTGTCTGACTGCATTGTGCCAAGTGTAAAGTTTGGTGGAGGGGGGATTATGGTGTGGGGTTGTTTTTCAGGAGCTGGGCTTGGCCCCTTAGTTCCAGTGAAAGGAACTCTGAATGCTTCAGCATACCAAGACATTTTGGACAATTCCATGCTCCCAACTTTGTGGGAACAGTTTGGAGCTGGCCCCTTCCTCTTCCAACATGACTGTGCACCAGTGCACAAAGCAAGGTCCATAAAGACATGGATGACAGAGTCTGGTGTGGATGAACTTGACTGGCCTGCACAGAGTCCTGACCTCAACCCGATAGAACACCTTTGGGATGAATTAGAGCGGAGACTGAGAGCCAGGCCTTCTCGTCCAACATCAGTGTGCGACCCCACAAATGCGCTTCTGGAAGAATGGTCAAAAATTCCCATAAACACACTCCTAAACCTTGTGGACAGCCTTCCCAGAAGAGTTGAAGCTGTTCTAGCTGCAAAGGGTGGACCGACGTCATATTGAACCCTATGGATTAGGAACGGGATGTCACTTAAGCTCATATGTGAGTCAAGGCAGGTGAGCAAATACTTTTGGCAATATAGTGTATGTAATTCTGCAGTAGACCAGCAGCAGCGTTACAGATGGACGCCTGTAGGATCCGTTAAATGGAGGAATTTATTCTCTTTCTCTTCAGTTTTTTATTTAAATAAAACCAACAAACAGGTAAAGTTTCTGGCTCCTCCAACTCCAGTTCCTCAGACCATTCAGCTCTGAGTCAGAACATCTATGATGGTCCTGAAGAGAAGCAATTAAACTAGAGATAACTGAGATCAGTCTGTTGAACCGCCTCACCTACCCAGCATGCATTGCATAGAGGGGACTCCCACGGGTATGACCAAATATGAAAGACTAATAAATGACTGAACAAGAAATATTGAGTTTGACCAACGGCCATTTGAAGTTATTACGGAATATTAAACGGCAGCTTATACTGTTGCAACCGCACACATCAAATGTTGCTTGGGTCTGGGCGCAAACTGGTTTTGCTGGTATGCTTTAGCAACGTCGGTCTGGAATTTCTAGGGACGCACAAGTTTCCTGCCAAGGCGCAAGGGGGAGTCTATTCGAGAACTCGCGAGAACTTTGGCGGATGGTCATGAGAACTTCTTCGGCAGCAACAGGAGTGTTAATTTTCCAAAACAACAAGAGCGCGTCTGGAAGATATCACGGTCACGGAGACGGATCTAGAGTTGCTAGACATCGAAGAGGAACAGGTTCTGTTAATGGAGTTTGCATAAAGACAAAGGGGGACGTGTAGGTGGTGTTTACGCCCCTTGAATCAGACCAGGGATGAGGCTAGGGGTTTTTGATCCGGCACCGAATCGAGAAGGAGGTTGCAGAAGCTTTGCGTCAGAAGCATAAATTGGCCTTTAGGCCCAAAGGTTCAACGGCGACCCCTGATTGAAATATCTGAGTCAGTGTGACAGAGCTCACGTTCACAGCGGCCGATAAGGACAGCATTACCTCCTTGCTTTTCTTCTTCTTCTTTTTCTTCTCTTTGGACAGCATGCTGTCCTTTTCTAGAATAAAGATGAAGATCGAAGTGATTATTAACTCATCTGAGGTCAAAACACACATTTTCTATAAAATGCTGCAACATGAGACTCAGAAACAGTCATTGGGAGGCAACAGTTCCTCCATCTTTCTCTGGTCCTCATACAATTCCTCATCTAGTCAGAGGACCTGGGCTCCAGGTCAGGGACGAGACAATCCTGGACGGGACCAGAGAGTTAACTGGTTTTACTGGTTCCAACATGACTGACCTTCATGCTCTTCGCTGCTGTCCTTTGCTGTTCGAGGCTCTTCGTGGATTCCCAGGCCAAACAGATCCGTATCATCCTTGGATTTGAAGGAAATCTCAGTGGGTTTCAGTGGCGCCTTGGAGAAACGCGCGTCTTCATCAGAGAGGTCTGACAGAAGCTCATCTCTGACTGGAAAGATGTCCTAAAAGCAAGAACGGGAAAGCCGCTGATGTCAGAGAGAAGCAGCCCCTCCCCCCTCTCCCTCAGCCAATCAGCTGCAGCTCACCTTTGCAGTCTTTGGGGTGTCTGAGGCTTCTGACTCAAAGTCAGGGTCGTCCATGACAAAGGAGAGCATCTGCTGGGCTACGGGGGCCTCAGGCTCCGAGTCCGAGTCCTCTGCTCTGGCTGGCCCCCCCCCCCTCCTGCCTGCTGGCGGAGCAGCTGGCTCTACTGCTGGAGCGAACGTCAGGGAGACCGGAGCAACCCTGACCTCTGGAGCTTTCTGGATGACCGGCCTGGAGGAGGAAGACAGCTAGCAGTTTCCTCCAGTCAGAGATGGAAAAGTTCAGAAATGTTCCTGAGGAGCTTAGATGTTCTACTGGTCAGCTCTTCCTCTACTGGTCAGCTCTTCCTCTACTAGGAAGTTCTTCCTCTACTGGTCAGCTCTTCCTCTACTAGGAAGTTCTTCCTCTAATAGGAAGTTCTTCCTCTACTGCTCAGCTCTTCCTCTACTAGGAAGTTCTTCCTCTAATGGTCAGCTCTTTCTCTACTAGGAAGTTCTTCCTCTACTGGTCAGCTCTTCCTCTACTAGGAAGTTCTTCCTCTACTGGTCAGCTCTTCCTCTACTAGGAAGTTCTTCCTCCACTGGTCAGCTCGTCCTCTACTAGGAAGTTCTTCCTCCACTGGTCAGCTCTTCCTGTACTAGGAAGTTCTTCCTCTACTGGTCAGCTCTTCGTCTACTAGGAAGTTCTTTTTTTTCCTCTAACGGTCATCTCTTCCTATACTAGGAAGTTCTTCCTCTACTAGGAAGTTCTTCCTCCACTGGTCAGCTCTTCCTGTACTAGGAAGTTCTTCCTCTACTGGTCAGCTCTTCCTCTACTAGGAAGTTCTTTTTTTTCTCTAATGGTCAGCTCTTCCTCTACTAGGAAGTTCTTCTTCCACTGGTCACCTCTTTATCTACTAGGAAGTTCTTCCTCTACTAGAAAGTTCTTCCTCTAATGGTCAGCTCTTCCTGTACTAGTAAGTTCTTTTTTTTCTCTAATGGTCAGCTCTTCCTCTACTAGGAAGTTCTTCCTCCACTAGAAAGTTCTTCCTCTACTAGAAAGTTCTTCCTCTACTAGGAAGTTCTTCCTCCACTAGAAAGTTCTTCCTCTACTAGAAAGTTCTTCCTCTACTAGAAAGTTCTTCCTCTACTAGAAAGTTCTTCTTCTACTAGAAAGTTCTTCCTCTAATGGTCAGCTCTTCCTGTACTAGGAAGTTCTTCCTCTAATGGTCAGTACTCTTCCTCTACTAGAAAGTTCTTCCTCTACTAGAAAGCTCTTCCTCTACTAGGAAGTTCTTCCTCTACTGGTCAGCTCTTCCTCTACTAGGAAGTTCTTCCTCCACTGGTCAGCTCGTCCTCTACTAGGAAGTTCTTCCTCCACTGGTCAGCTCTTCCTGTACTAGGAAGTTCTTCCTCTACTGGTCAGCTCTTCGTCTACTAGGAAGTTCTTTTTTTTCCTCTAACGGTCATCTCTTCCTATACTAGGAAGTTCTTCCTCTACTAGGAAGTTCTTCCTCCACTGGTCAGCTCTTCCTGTACTAGGAAGTTCTTCCTCTACTGGTCAGCTCTTCCTCTACTAGGAAGTTCTTTTTTTTCTCTAATGGTCAGCTCTTCCTCTACTAGGAAGTTCTTCTTCCACTGGTCAGCTCTTCATCTACTAGGAAGTTCTTCCTTTACTAGAAAGTTCTCCCTCTAATGGTCAGCTCTTCCTGTACTAGGAAGTTCTTCCTCTACTAGAAAGTTCTTCCTCTAATGGTCAGCTCTTCATGTACTAGGAAGTTCTTCCTCTAATGGTCAGCTCTTCATGTACTAGGAAGTTCTTCCTCTAATGGTCAGCTCTTCCTCTACTAGGAAGTTCTTCCTCTACTGGTCAGCTCTTCCTCTACTAGGAAGTTCTTACTCTACTGGTCAGCTCTTCCTGTACTAGGAAGTTCTTCCTCTACTGGTCAACTCTTCCTCTACTAGGAAGTTCTTCCTCTACTAGAAAGTTCTTCCTCTACTAGAAAGTTCTTCCTCTACTGGTCAGCTCTTCCTCTACTGGTCAGCTCTTCCTGTACTAGGAAGTTCTTCCTGTACTAGGAAGTTCTTCCTCTACTAGAAAGTTATTCCTCTACTAGAAAGTTCTTCATCTACTGGTCAGCTCTTCCTCTACTAGGAAGTTCTTCCTCTACTGGTCAGCTCTTCCTCTACTAGAAAGTTATTCCTCTACTGGTCAGCTCTTCCTCTACTAGGAAGTTCTTCCTCTACTGGTCAGTTCTTCCTCTACTGGTCAGCTCTGCCTCTACTAGGAAGTTCTTCCTCTACTAGGAAGTTCTTCCTCCACTGGTCAGCTCTTCCTCTACTAGGAAGTTCTTCCTCTACTGGTCAGCTCTTCCTCTACTAGAAAGTTCTTCCTCTACTGGTCAGCTCTTCCTCTACTGGTCAGCTCTTCCTCTACAAGGAAGTTCTTCCTCTACTGGTCAGCTCTTCCTCTACTAGGAAGTTCTTCCTCCACTGGTCAGCTCTTCCTGTATTAGGAAGTTCTTCCTCTACTAGAAAGTTCTTCCTCTACTGGTCAGCTCTTCCTGTACTAGAAAGTTCTTCCTCTACTGGTCAGCTCTTCCTCTACTAGGAAGTTCTTCCTCTACTAGGAAGTTCTTCCTCCACTGGTCAGCTCTTCCTCTACTAGGAAGTTCTTCCTCTACTGGTCAGCTCTTCCTCTACTAGAAAGTTCTTCCTCTACTGGTCAGCTCTTCCTCTACTGGTCAGCTCTTCCTCTACAAGGAAGTTCTTCCTCTACTGGTCAGCTCTTCCTCTACTAGGAAGTTCTTCCTCCACTGGTCAGCTCTTCCTGTATTAGGAAGTTCTTCCTCTACTGGTCAGCTCTTCCTCTACTGGTCAGCTCTTCCTGTACTAGGAAGTTCTTCCTCCACTGGTCAGCTCTTCATCTACTAGGAAGTTCTTCCTCTACTAGAAAGTTCTTCCTCTACTGGTCAGCTCTTCCTGTACTAGAAAGTTCTTCCTCTACTGGTCAGCTCTTCCTGTACTAGAAAGTTCTTCCTCTACTGGTCAGCTCTTCCTGTACTAGGAAGTTCTTCCTCTACTGGTCAGCTCTTCCTCTACTAGAAAGTTCTTCCTCTACTAGAAAGTTCTTCCTCTACTAGAAAGTTCTTCCTCTACTAGAAAGTTCTTCCTCTACTAGAAAGTTCTTCCTCTACTAGAAAGTTCTTCCTCTACTGGTCAGCTCTTCCTCTACTGGTCAGCTCTTCCTCTACTAGGAAGTTCTTCCTCTACTGGTCAGCTCTTCCTCTACTAGGAAGTTCTTCCTCTACTGGTCAGCTCTTCCTTCACTGGGAAGAACACTGACTTACAGCCAGAGGAGGAGCATTCAGGTCATGGCTGCATAAAGGGATTTTGGAAGGAATCACATCAGTTATATTCATCATTGGTTTAGCTTACGCTTTCAGGTCAGGATCACTGTCCTGGTCCAGAGTGACTGGGGGGGCCACCCCCTCCTCTTCCTCACTGCTCAAAGAGATGTCTTTACTGTGGGGCAGGCTCCTGACCTGGGGAAGACTGGTGTCATCAGGATCCAGCTCATCTTGGAAAGCAGAAACCATGGGGTTCCCTCTGCTCTCTCCATCACTGCATCCAAACAAGAACAGGAGGAATGTCCCTTCATCATCATAATCATCATCATCCTCCTCCTCCTCCTCCACCAAAGGTCTGTTTATCGAGGCCTTCAGCTTTGGTTCAATAAATATCCTGCATGTGTCAAAGACCATCCCTTTGCTGATCAATCCAAACCACCAGCTAACAAAGATGGCCGCTGTCTGCTTCCAGCTGGATTCCCTGACTTCCTGTTGCTTCCAGCTGGATTCCCTGACTTCCTGTTGCCTCCAACCGGATTCCATGACTTCCTGTTGCTTCCGGCTGGATTCCCTAACTTCCTGTTGCTTATGGCTGGATTCCCTGACTTCCTCTTGCCTCCAGCTAGATTCCCTGACTTCCTGTTGCCTCCAGCTAGATTCCCTGACTTCCTGTTGCTTCCGGCTGGATTCCCTGACTTCCTGTTGCTTCCGGCTGGATTCCCTGAATTCCTGTTGAATCCTGTTGCTTCCGACTGGATTCCCTGACTTCCTGTTGCCTCCAACTGGATTCCCTGACTTCCTGTTGCCTCCAGCTGGATTCCCTGACTTCCTGTTGCCTCCGGCTGGATTCCCTGACTTCCTGTTGCCTCCGGCTGGATTCCCTGACTTCCTGTTGCCTTCAACTGGATTCCCTGACTTCCTGTTGCCTCCAACTGGATTCCCTGACTTCCTGTTGCCTCCGGCTGGATTCCCTGACTTCCTGTTGCCTCCGGCTGGATTCCCTGACTTCCTGTTGCCTCCAGCTGGATTCCCTGACTTCCTGTTGCTTCCGGCCAGATTCCCTGACTTCCTGTTGATGGTTTCTCACCTGTCGCTGTCCACAGCTGGAGCAGGTTGGGGCACCTTGTTCTTGGAGGGCACACTGTCTTCCAGGAAACTCCTGTCCAGTCTCTCGTCTGGCACAAAATCATCCACACTCTGAACTTTAGCAGGACACATGGGTGCCGGAGGCTCCTCTAGGGAAGACATTGATATAAGCGTGAGTCAGAGCTGCTTCCCTCGCAGCGTTTCCTGCTCAGAAACACAGAGCCTCAGTGGAGCTGAACAATAACATTCCAACATCAGTTCAGCTTTAAACGTTTTGACAGATCTGAAGCAGAAGGGACCCGGAAGCAGGTCTGAACCTACCTGGACCAGAGGCAGGAATCTCAGCAGCAGCAGATGAACCAAACCAGCGAGATATGAAGCTGCGTTTTTGGGGACCTGACCCCCCAGGTGCAGAGGGTGACTGCTGGTGTTCGGGTGACTGGGGAGGAGGTTTAATTTCAGCCATGGGGGTGAAGGTTCCACTGACTACTGCTGTAGGGGGAGCAGGGGAGGGTGCAGACGGAGCCTGAGGAAGCATCTGGGAAGCCAGTGGAGGCTGAGGAGTGCTGGGACTGGAGCTGCCTGTGGAAGCACCACTGGGAGGGACGACCGGAGACTGGGAGCCAGAGGAGGGACTCTGACCGTTGGTCGGACCAGGAGAAGCATGGCCCTTACTGCGAGACTCCAGGTTCTCCAAGAAACTGGAAAAGTCACATAAGAATTTATTTGATAAGTAAAAAGAAAAGAGACTTGTTCTGAAAAACAAGTCATCGGGAAAAGGCAGGAATAGTTCTGGGCTCTGGTTTTTATGAAGCACAAAGAGAAAACTGGCCATACATCTCATAGTTCTGATCCTCAGTCTCCTGCTGGACAGTCAGCTCCTCCAGGGTGGCGTCCATGTCCAGCTGGTTGGTCTCCAGCTGCCTTAGGAGCGTTTCTCTCTGCAAGAATAAAACAGAAATCCAGCCAGAGGTCCTGTTTCATGCCTGGATCAACGGTGGAGATACACAACCAGTAACCCAGAAAGACAGACCAGCAGACATGAACACAGACCACTCACTGATACGAAGACAACAACTGAGAACCTAGCAAGTTAGAAAATACATCAGAGCTGAGAAAGGACCCGCATGGAGGATAGAGACTGTGGAGGAAGCTAACCTGGAGCTGCAGGAAGGGGATGTTGAAGAACCTGTGCAAATACTTCAAGCCAAACCCGTTCTTCATAGACGATTCAGCGTAGTGAATGTAGGATGATCCCATCGGTCTGGAGAGAAGAACATGGACCCAACAGAACATCAGCAATGGATGGCAGAACCTCAGGGGCTAATCTACGCCAGAGACGGACGTCAGAACCTCAGGGGTTCATCTACGCCAGAGACGGACGTCAGAACCTCAGGGGTTCATCTACGTCAGCGACGGACGTCAGAACCTCAGGGGTTCATCTACGCCAGCGACGGACGTCAGAACCTCAGGGGTTCATCTACGTCAGCGACGGACGTCAGAACCTCAGGGGTTCATCTACGCCAGCGACGGACGTCAGAACCTCAGGGGTTCATCTACGCCAGCGACGGACGTCAGAACCTCAGGGGTTCGTCTACGCCAGCGACGGACGTCAGAACCTCAGGGGTTCGTCTACGTCAGCGACGGACGTCAGAACCTCAGGGGTTCGTCTACGCCAGCGACGGACGTCAGAACCTCAGGGGTTCGTCTACGCCAGCGACGGACGTCAGAACCTCAGGGGTTCATCTACGTCAGCGACGGACGTCAGAACCTCAGGGGTTCGTCTACGCCAGCGACGGCCGTCAGAACCTCAGGGGTTCGTCTACGCCAGCGACGGCCGTCAGAACCTCAGGTGTTCGTCTACGTCAGCGACGGACGTCAGAACCTCAGGGGTTCGTCTACGCCAGCGACGGACTTCAGAACCTCAGGGGTTCGTCTACGTCAGCGACGGACGTCAGAACCTCAGGGGTTCGTCTACGCCAGCGACGGACGTCAGAACCTCAGGGGTTCGTCTACGTCAGCGACGGACGTCAGAACCTCAGGGGTTCGTCTACGTCAGCGACGGACGTCAGAACCTCAGGGGTTCGTCTACGCCAGCGAAGGACGTCAGAACCTCAGGGGTTCATCTACTCCAGCGACGGACGTCAGAACCTCAGGGCTTCATCTACTCTACGTCAGCGACGGACGTCAGAACCTCAGGGGTTCATCTACGTCAGCGACGGACGGCAGAACCTCAGGGGTTCATCTACGTCAGCGACGGACGGCAGAACCTCAGGGGTTCATCTACGTCAGCGACGGACGGCAGAACCTCAGGGGTTCATCTACGCCAGCGACGGACGTCAGAACCTCAGGGGTTCATCTACGTCAGCGACGGACGTCAGAACCTCAGGGGTTCATCTACGCCAGCGACGTACGTCAGAACCTCAGGGGTTCGTCTACGTCAGCGACGGACGTCAGAACCTCAGGTGTTCATCTACGCCAGCGACGGACGTCAGAACCTCAGGGGTTCATCTACGCCAGCGACGGACGTCAGAACCTCAGGGGTTCATCTACGTCAGCGACGGACGTCAGAACCTCAGGGGTTCATCTACGCCAGCGACGGAAGTCAGAACCTCAGGGGTTCGTCTACGCCAGCGACGGACGTCAGAACCTCAGGGGTTCGTCTAGGCCAGCGACGGACGTCAGGACCTCAGGGGTTCGTCTACGCCAGCGACGGACGTCAGGACCTCAGGGGTTCATCTACGCCAGCGACGGACGTCAGAACCTCAGGGGTTCGTCTACGTCAGCGACGGACGTCAGAACCTCAGGGGTTCGTCTACGCCAGCGACGGACGTCAGAACCTCAGGGGTTCGTCTACGCCAGCGACGGACGTCAGAACCTCAGGGGTTCATCTACGCCAGCGACGGACGTCAGAACCTCAGGTGTTAATCTACGCCAGCGACGGACGTCAGAACCTCAGGTGTTCATCTACGTCAGCGACGGACGTCAGAACCTCAGGTGTTCATCTACGCCAGCGAGGGACGTCAGAACCTCAGGGGTTCATCTACGCCAGCGACGGAAGTCAGAACCTCAGGGGTTCATCTACGCCAGCGACGGACGTCAGAACATTAGGTGTTCATCTACGTCAGCGACGGACGTCAGAACCTCAGGGGTTCGTCTACGCCAGCGACGGACGTCAGAACCTCAGGGGTTCGTCTACGCCAGCGACGGACGTCAGAACCTCAGGGGTTCGTCTACGCCAGCGACGGACGTCAGAACCTCAGGGGTTCATCTACGCCAGCGACGGACGTCAGAACCTCAGGGGTTCGTCTACGTCAGCGACGGACGTCAGAACCTCAGGGGTTCGTCTACGCCAGCGACGGACGTCAGAACCTCAGGGGTTCGTCTACGCCAGCGACGGACGTCAGAACCTCAGGGGTTCGTCTACGCCAGCGACGGACGTCAGAACCTCAGGTGTTAATCTACGCCAGCGACGGACGTCAGAACCTCAGGTGTTCATCTACGTCAGCGACGGACGTCAGAACCTCAGGGGTTCGTCTACGTCAGCGACGGACGTCAGAACCTCAGGGCTTCATCTACTCTACGTCAGCGACGGACGTCAGAACCCCAGGGGTTCGTCTACGCCAGCGACGGACGTCAGAACCTCAGGGGTTCGTCTACGCCAGCGACGGACGTCAGAACCTCAGGGGTTCATCTACGCCAGCGACGGACGTCAGAACCTCAGGTGTTAATCTACGCCAGCGACGGACGTCAGAACCTCAGGTGTTCATCTACGTCAGCGACGGACGTCAGAACCTCCGGGGTTCATCTACGTCAGCGACGGACGTCAGAACCTCAGGGCTTCATCTACTCTACGTCAGCGAGGGACGTCAGAACCTCAGGGGTTCATCTACGTCAGCGACGGACGTCAGAACCTCAGGGGTTCATCTACGCCAGCGACGGACGTCAGAACCTCAGGGGTTCATCTACGTCAGCGACGGACGTCAGAACCTCAGGGCTTCATCTACGCCAGAGATGGATGTAGATCGGGGGCTTGGCGGTGAGGTTGTGTAGGGGTGGGGCCTGCATGGACCTTTCCTAAAGGCACTTTGATGGACGTTTCTATGGTGAGCTAATACTGTGGATTAGGTAACAGAGATGCTCTCTCTGCAGAGCAGAGCTACCTCAGCCCATGGGGGGGCAGGGAGTAGACTAACTGATCATTTACCTGTTTAGCCCTGCGATAAAGTCCCGGATGTCATCAGGGAGAATAACGCGATGTTCTCCCATGTCTCGGTGATTCCCCAGAACACACACCGGTACGTGGGTGGGTACTTTGGGAAGCTCCCTCAGGATGTAATTGAATGTCCTAGAATGGACAGACCAGACGGCACAAACGAGTCTGCTTGACTTGTTCAGTCTATTACTACAGAAAATAAGACATGAACCTTCTTGATTTTACACAGACAGAACTTTACTTTTTCTCCTCAGCTTATTATTTATTGTCATTGATCACATGGGGTTAAAATATGCCCTGAACAAGCAGCAGAAAGACAAACAAGAACTAAGAAAACATTTATTAAGTTATATCTGGCCGCTGCAGACGGGCTAACGTTAGCCCCGGCCGCTGCAGACGGGCTAACGTTAGCCCCGGCCCCTGCAGACGGGCCAACGTTAGCCCCGGCCGCTGCCTGCAGACGGGCCAATGTTAGCCCTGGCCGCTGCAGATGGGCTAACGTTAGCTCTGGCCGCTACAGACGGTCTAACGTTAGCCCCGGCCGCTGCAGACGGGCCAACGTTAGCCCTGGCCGCTGCAGATGGGCTAACGTTAGCTCTGGCCGCTACAGACGGGCTAACGTTAGCCCCGGCCGCTGCAGACGGGCCAACGTTAGCCCCAGGCGGCTTTAATTAATGAATGACCTATTTAAGTATTAATTAATTCATTAGTTATTTATTGTATTGTGTCTCTAGTCACCTTCATGAGAACTGCAACAGCATCTCCTTTAGTATAACTCTCAGTAACTAATAAACTAGGGCGCCATCTATAAAATGTATCTATGCAGGGCCAAGGCAAATCCCCCAATGGAGCTCTACGCAGGAATTATTCATTATGTGGATTAAAAGAATCCATTTCTGATCCCAGGAATACCAGATGGAAGCACAGAGGACTGGATTTAGCCTTTTTTCTGTTTTTATCAGGGATAAAAGCTGATAAAATAGCTCCTCTTTGTTTCTGCTGTTCAGACATCTGGAAAGCTGAAAATTCAAACAGTGTTGCTTTAGATTAGTCAATTCTTTGGAGGGATTATTATTAGTTAATCCCTTTCTCTGGGAGGCAGTTTCTGACCATAGAAAAGTGAATCATCTGCACTCATTAGCTTAAATGCAGGTCTTACCACTGTTTGGTGATGTCATACATCATGATGACACCATTGCAGTTCTTGTAGACATCCAGGAACTCTGCATCCAGGGCCACCTCGTCTGACTGCAACACAAAGGTTTAACCAGAGCTCCTTCAGCTGTAAAGCTAGTAGCCTGACCCCATGACAGCCATGTGACGCTCACCTCTTGAGGCTCATTCTCCAATTTCAAGTTGTCCCCACGGCGCTTTCCTTTACCTGTGAGGACATGAAAATCAGCAGTTCAGACAAGAAGAGCAGGAACAAGGCTTAAAGACTTAAAGTCTACTGCAGCTATTTTCTGTGAGTAAAGCAAGCAGAGCGATTATCCTGTAAGGAAAGCAGAGTGGATGTCCAGGCTAAATATGGGAAAACAGAATCACATGAAGAGAAATTCAGCTCTGAGCACAGCCACACGTTCTAACTACAGACTTTCAACATAAGGTTAGAGGAGGCAAGGCACACTCAAGGCACACAGGAGTTTCTATGCATTCCAGTCCGGCTCACCTCCACCTTCAGGAAGAGGATATTTTTGGCCTTAGATGATTGCAAAGGAAGTGTAAAAAAAAGACAACATCAAGACTAGAGACAGAGAAAAAAAGCAAACTGAACACACGCCTCTGCTTTAAAGTCTGCAGCATGAAGACAAGAATAAAACATCTAAAGTTGGATCTGAACACTCACCTTTGTCCACAACATCCCACACCTCCACCTTCACCACGTCATCAGTAGCTGAGCACAAAGCAGAGAGCAGAAACATTATGGCGGACTGACAGCAGGAAGGATCTCTGAAACTAGAGATGCACTGAGAAACTATCAGAGATGGTTTCCAGGTGGATCAATCCTGATTGGTCACCAACCATCAGGAAAGATGTTCACTGAAATTAGCTGAAGGTGTAATTAGATGTAATCTTGCTGGATTAAGCTCCATATGAAAACAGTCAGTTAGCCTATCTAGTCATTGGGATCTACAGTTTGAAAGGTCAGTATGAGGAGCTTCTAATAGACTGTCAATCATCTACCATCATCTAGGAACTATAAGAAATATAGAGCTAGGAGGAGCTAATTGACCACAGGTTCCTGTATGTGAAATCAGCCGTAATCTGAGAAAGTTCAGGCTAATGGTTGTTAGCGTCTCTCTAGGTTCTCACATATAAAGCCTTAAATGGCCAAGCTCCCTCTGATATCAGAGATCTGATTGTTCCTTATGTTCCTAACAGAGCACTTCGCTCTCAATCTGCAGGTTTACTAGTGGTTCCTAGAATTTCTAAAAGTAGAATGGGAGGCAGATCTTTTAGTTATCAGGCTCCTCTCCTGTGGAACCAACTACCAGTTTTAGTCCGTGAGGCAGACACCCTGTCTACTTTTAAGGCTAGGCTTAAAACTTTCCTTTTTGATAAAGCTTCTAGTTAGAGTGGCTCAGGTTATCCTGATCTATCTCTATAGTTCTGCTGCTATAGGCTTAGACTGCTGGAGGACATAGGGACCCCTTTTTCATCATCCTGCTTCATTCTATCTCTATTCTCCCACTCTGCAGAATCTGTTAGTTCAATCTCTAACGTTCTGCTCTCTCTGCTTTTTCTCATAGTAGCTTTGCCTCGTCTGTTCCTGTTTGGCTGTGACTCCATCCTGGAGAGAAATATCAGCTGTGCTGCTGCCATCAACATCTTTGTTTCTACATGTTGGAGCTTGGCCTGTTTTCCAGTGTAGTCCTGTTTCTCTGACTGTGACTAACTGGATGTGCTCTCTTCATCCTCTGACATGGGAGCTGGCTCGGAGCTCGTCTGCCTGGCTGTGTGTTTCCTGGACGGGGCCGCCTGTGGAGCTGGTTGACAGTTGCCTTTTGTATCTATGCTTCTTTTTCTATGTCTGCTTCTGTCTCCTTGAACCCCAGTGGGCCTCAGCAGATGGCCGCTCACACTGAGCCTGGTTCTGCTGGGGGTTTCTTCCTGTTCAAAGGGAGTTTTTCCTCTCCACTGTCGCTACAAGCATGCTTAGTGTGAGGGATTGCTGAAGAGTCAATGAGTCGATGCAATCAGCTGGTTTTCCTTAGATAGAAAACTTTGCCTGGATGATCTGGTTAATCTTGATCTACAAAGTGACGTGAGATTATATGATGTGAAATTGAGCTATAGAAATAAATGAATAGAATGAAGTTGCCTGTCTATCATCCTGTAGCCCAGGCCAGTCTGTAGAGGTAAAGACCTCCTGTACGCAGGAACAGACCACCTTTATGCAGGTATAGCTGCTAAAGGAGGAGAACATATGTTCTCCTTAAAGAACAACCATCAGGTTAGTGAGAGGAAGAATTTTACTGATAAACTAAATAATTCCAGCAGCAGACGATGTGATCTGCTGACACCATGTTTCTGTTCATTCTAAGGGGAAATATTCTGTCATCATTCTGTGATCCTTTGACAGGAGTCCATCCTCTGACTCTGGGTGAAGATTTCTCTGATTCTAACATGAAGAAATACGAGCAGGAAGGTTGGAAACTGAACAGTAATTGACTTTAGAAACAGCTGATCCTCATGGTTTGAACAGTTCCTATGAACAATCAGTGCTTCTCCATCTAAAGGGTCGGGCTGCAGGCGTCTGTCCTGCCCACTAACTCTAAACCTCTACCAGCTCCAACTATTTGGACTGAGACGGTTTTACCTTGATATGGAGCCACTGAAATAAATCACCAGACAGCAGAGGTTGAAAATAACATCAGGACAGGAAGAAACGAAGGCATCTGTTTGCTGCAGGAACAAGCTGCAGCCGGAGGACAAAAGGACTTACTTTTGTAATTCCAGTGAATACTGGTGACCTGGATCTCCTGAGTGGGAATGTACTCCTCTACAAACTTCTTCCCCTGCAGTCGGTGCCACAAAGTGCTCTTTCCAGTATTTCGGTCTCCTCGGATGACTATTTTCACTTGAGTGAGAAAAGTAAAACCAGATGTTATCACAGTTTGGCACCGAGGGAACATCTGCTATTGTTCATCTTACTGTTATACTGAACGCCTTTGGCGAAGCGGCGCTGCAGACTCTGGTTCATGGACTGCAGTCCTGAAGGGATGGTTTTCTCCCTGAGCTGCCCAGGCTCAGACCCCACCAGCTTCTTTAGAGCTGAAAACATCTTTGACCAGGAGATCCAAACCCTGAGCCTCCACTAGATGAGATTCCTTTAGAAAACCGTAGAACCGTCTCCTCAAAGGGGAGGAGCTTAGCGCTCCATGTTTAGAAACAGGACAGATTGATAGTTATGGATGAAGGTGGATCCTGTCAGTGGAGAGCTCCTCTACTGGGATGTTAGGGCCGTCATCTGAGAAATAAACAACAACAGACGTTAGTAAATAAACAACAACAGACGTTAGTAAATAAACAACAACAGACGTTAGGAAATAAACAACAACAGACGTTATTAAATAAACAACAACAGACGTTAGTAAATAAACAACAACAGACGTTAGTAAATAAACAACAACAGACGTTAGGAAATAAACAACAACAGACGTTAGGAAATAAACAACAACAGACGTTAGGAAATAAACAACAACAGACGTTATTAAATAAACAACAACAGACGTTAGTAAATAAACAACAACAGACGTTATTAAATAAACAACAGACGTTAGTAAATAAACAATAACAGCCCAACTCATCGTTATTTACATGTGCATTTATAAATACATGTTCTGCATATGTGAACTAACTTAAAGATGCAATAAAATAAAATATTAATGTTGTCACATAGAAACTACCCAGGATTCTACTTTATTTCTGAAACGTCATTTTATGCTTTTCCAGTCAGAATCCTAAAGCTAAGGTAATAAAACTAATATATATTCTTTATTTGAGTATTTTTCCATTTGGTGGAAATGTAAAAGAGTTATAAATAAAAAGTCAAGGCAGCTGAAGCTCTAAGGTTCCTCTTGTTACAGAGGAGAACATGAGGAGATCAGCTGACCTGCAGGATCCAGTGACAATAAGAGCCTGGATGAAATATTCACACTATAGAGACTCACGGCGGTCCCTTCGTGTTTAACATCAAAGGAAACATTGCTTTGATCTTTACAGGCTCCATTAAATGAAAGATAAACCAGTTCAATAACATGAGTGGAGAACGAAGATGTTATTAACAGAGGGCTGGGTTAGCATTAGCATCCTTAGCTCTGTTCTCATGGTTATAAGTTTCTAAGTTTCTATCTTTAAATGTTTATAATCCAAATAAAGCCTCAGCATCTCAGCGCAGAGGAAGCCTGAACAGGAATCAAACAGGAAGGTTATCTCCTGCTCACTGCTAGCTAGCAGCACTTAGCTTAGCATCCTTGGCTCCCAGCAAGATGGCGGCTTCCAGCAGCGGCCCCCGGCCCCAGGCCCACCTGGCCCCCCGGCCCCCAAACACTCACCGCTGCGGGAGGAGGAGGGAACCGGCATCGTTTTCTGACCATCGGTCAGACAGCAGGACACATTCCTCCGCTAAGAGGACCGCAGACCGGAAATAAAGCGGAACGTCAAACTGCCATATCCGGTAGAAACTTCAAATTAAAAGTCTGCAATAAAACAAAGAAATCGGTTCTACGGAAATGATCTAAAAATCCAAAACGGTTTATTGAAAATAATGGTTTAAGCCAAACAGACCAGGGATAAGAAAGGAGGAGGAGGAGGCTGCTGGTGAAACCTGTGCAGCGATGCTCTGATCAACCAGCGATCCAGGCGACTGGTTGATCAGAGCTGATTGCAGACATCCCAACTCATTTCAGGGAGATGACCCCCCCCCCCCCCCCCCCACACACACACACAAACACACACACCCTGGGAACAACAAACCCGCACCATGCCCCATACACACACACTTAAGGCCAGCAACTTTTCATCAACTGTTTATTGGTAATTTCTTAAACACTAAACAGAACAGTATTGGTCTTTAATTTTCAATACTTTCAACACGCTGTCATACGCTGTTTTTTAAAATAAAGACTGTTGGTACTCATCCAGCTCTGTCTGTTGAATATTGGGTCCAAGGTTTCGGGCCCTTGACGGTTTCCTTATTTTGTCTAAATTAGAGACAGGAGGATTATTCCCGCATCAGGCCACAGAGCAGTGGACCAGCAGCAAAGTCCTCCCAGTGTGTCTGCAGAGGACAGACTCTCTCTGGTACTGGAAAGCTCAGATGTTCACACTCTGCTCTAGACTGCTGGGCTCCTTTAGTCAGGCAGTCATCCCTCCTGGTTAGGCGTTCTGGTCTTCTACAGTTTCCTACAAAGTAAAAGGTGGACTGTGTTTAATGGGAGGAAGACTGTCCCAGATCTGCTCTGGATCACAGAGCTTCTCTTCCAGCTTAGATAAACTGCAACTGATGCTGGAAAGATCTGGTTTGCTCAGGACTAAGGACTGGCTTGCAGTGGTGAAGGACAGAGACATGGGTCTTCTCACAGCTCCCATGATGAGGTAGAGGTTCAATTCTATTCATTTTGTTTCTATAGCTCCAACCCATAACATGTCATCTCGGGTCACTTTATAGATCCAATTTAACCAGATCATCCAGTCAAATTGGTTCAAAGTTTTCTATCTAAGGAAAACCAGCTGATTGCATCGACTCATTGACTCTTCAGCAATCCCTCACACTAAGCATGCTTGTAGCGACAGTGGAGAGGAAAAACTCCCTTTGAACAGGAAGAAACCTCCAGCAGAACCAGGCTCAGTGTGAGCGGCCATCTGCTGAGGCCCACTGGGGTTCAAGGAGACAGAAGCAGACATAGAAAAAGAAGCATAGATACAAAAGGCAACTGTCAACCAGCTCCACAGGCGGCCCCGTCCAGGAAACACACAGCCATTATTCTGCTTCAGCCAAGCTGCAGGAATGATCAAACATGTCGACAGGGAAGGATGTCATTCTGCTCCTGTGTTCAACATCAAACAGGTCTTAGTTTGGCTAACACACCTGTGGGACCGTAGACATTAAATACATAGATGCCTTATTGGACGCTGTCAGCAGCGAGATCAATGTGCCTAGAGTTTATGTAATAAAGTTATTGGTTTATTCTAAAATACTGAGTTCCTTGTTCCTTCAGCTCTCGGCTTTTATTTAACAGGTGCTCTGTTAACTCAGGTCCGAACGAATCATTCTCTGCCATAAAAACACTTCGCTGTCGTAACATATCTGCCATAAAGTGTATGTCGCAAAACACAACATCCTCTGACATTTATCATCTTAATGTTTATTTGTAAAATATATAACTTTGCATATCCCTCAGTATGAGTTCAATTTAAATCTGAATAAATCTGTGAAATCTAACTGAAAGGTCATTTTAGAATCAGTTTTGCTCTTTTAAGGGGTTAATATAATCTGTGACACTGGTCTGACCCAAGATGGCCGCCCTACAGGCACGTCGACCAGCGTCCAATGAGGCATCTAGCTGTATAATGTCTATGTTTGGGACATCCAGATGGGGTCGGTCCATGAGGTATGGGTGCTAGAAGGTTAGAGTAGAAAGTACGGTGGCCCTGAAGTCCAAACCACATCATTTCTCCTGCTTGGTTAGCTGGTCTTAACCAGTCTGAGGGTTTCAGCAGATCCGCTGCAAATTAATCTAAAGGCAATTTTAATTCTTAGGATAAAAAAATAAAATAAAAACAAAGAAAGAAGAAGAGACATGAGAGCAACAGGAGAATGAAGGAAACTGATAGAGGAGATAAGATAGAGTGGGATAAAGGAGGGAATGTTAGATTTTATTATAGTATCCAAAAAAAGGTTGGAGAATTAAGAAAATGTAATAGAATTAAAAAAGAAGAAGATATTATATCTAGGATAAGATTCGGACTTACAGGATTAAATAGTGCTCTTAAAATAATGAATAAGCATAATACAGGGTGTATTTATGGGAAATTAGAAACTGTCCAACATATTTTTTTAGAATGTAATAAATATACTCAGGAGAGAGAGATGTTGCGTAGAGAGTTAGACAGGAATAAAAATAAACTAGATATAAGGAATGCTTCAAAGGTCATCTGAGGATGTAGTTTTTGGGAATATTTTTAGTTTTCTAAGAAGAACAGGTATTTTAGGGAGAATATAATAGATGGTCTGATCCATCCTCCAATCTGGAAGGTGGCGGTAATGCGCCTAGAAGTTAAACCTGTATCAGTTATTAAAAAATAGAAGGAGGAGGAGAAGGGGCCAGTGACGTCATGCTACCTTCAGGTGTGCTGTGATTGAACCAGGGCTGCAGCTCCTTCCATTGGTTCATTAACCAAACCACAAACCAGCTGGAACATAAACTCTTACTTTGAAGAGTCAGCAGTGACGTAGCTTCCGGGAGGATCACCTGTCTGCAGGTCCAATGCATGCAGCGATGCTGCTGCATCCTCGGCTCCGCTCCGCAGGTAAACAGAAGCAGCTTCCTTCATTTTGCATCAAGCAGCGCTGAACAGTGATTGCGCTCTTGAACACACCCCGCTCAGCCCCTGATGTTGCTGAGGGGGAGTCATGGCTGCTCCACAGCCTTCTCCTCCATCTTCCCTGGAAAGCAACAAGCCGGGCTTCCCGAAGCAGATCCTGGCCAACATCCTGGAGGACAAACATCTGTGCAACTCCTGCGAGAAGGTCCTGCGGAGGCCCCTGCAGGCCCGCTGCGGCCACCGCTTCTGCTGCTTCTGCTTCAACAAGCTGCTCAGGTGAGGAGGGGGGCGCGTGGGGCTGCTGGGGGGGTTACTGGTTCCAGCAGAACCAGGATCAGTGTGAGCGGCCATCTGCTGAGGATGACTGGGGTTCAAGGAGACAGAAGCAGACATAGAAAAAGAAGCATAGATACAAAAGGCAACCAGCTCCACAGGAACAATCAGATCTCTGATATCAGATGGAGCTTGGCCATTTAAGGCTTTATATGTGAGAAGGAGGATTTTAAATTCTATTCTAGATTTAACAGGAAGCCAATGAAGAGAAGCCAGGATAGGAGAGATATGATCTCTCTTTTTCATTTTCATCAGAACTCTGGCTGCAGCATTTTGGATCAGCTGAAGGCTTTTAACTACAGTTTGTGGACTTCCTGATAGTAGAGAATTACAATAGTCCAGCCTTGAAGTAACAAATGCATGGACTAGTTTCTCAGCATCACCCCTGGACAGGAGATTGCTCATTTTGCAATATTCTTCAGATGAAAGAAGGAAATTCTAGAAACCTCTTTGATCTGGGATTTAAATGACAGGTCCTGATCAAAAACAACACCAAGATTTTTTACTTTATTATCTGAAATCAGTTTAATCCCATCCAAATGAAGTGACTGGCTAATCAGCTTCTTTTTCAGAGACTCTGGTCCAAAGACTATAACTTCTGTTTTGTTTGCATTCAGAAGCAGAAAGTTAAGAGTTGTTCCTGTAATCTATGTAATGGATTAGCTTCATCTGGATCCTCATAAAGTTTAACTAAGCCTGTTAGAGGAACTGTTGCAGTTTAAATACCAGCAGCATCGTCTCAGATATCAGGTTTATAGTCCCCACCCTGCAGAGAAATTAGAATCTGAGCTTGAATTCCGGCCAAACCCACGTCCTCCATTTCCAGGTGCCCAGCAGGTGTTTGGCAGTAGAGACGGACAGGGGAGTGGATCTTCACTCCTGTCCTGTCCCACTCCTGGTGAAATTGCTCCCTCCCATCCCGCTCCCACTCAGAATGACTCCCCCTCCCATTCTGGTTGTTTTTGAGCGCGGGTGAAAAACTCAGAGCGGAAGCACTGTTGGTTTTTGGGTCGTGCAGTTTTTTTTGACTCGCATTATAGTGTAGGCTTCAAGGAAAAAAACTACAAAATGGCGGCGCCAGTACTGGATTTTTTTCTTTCTATTTTATTTTATTATTTGGCATCGATCCTAGTTTTTTTTAGTTGCTATTGGTTTGCTCCCGTTAATGTTTAATCCTGTACCGTCCCGATCACGTGATCTTTACTGACTCCCATCCCATGGGAATCCTGAAAAAATGTCACTCTCTATTTGGCAGTAGATCCATCTGTGTGAGACGTCTCTACGGATCTATGCTCCATATTTCTGTCAGTCAGACCAGGTGTGGTAGAGTGGGGGGCTGCAGTATCCATGGTGGGGAGGTTGCTGGGGTTTCTGGTGCCTCTGCAGAGAGATGATCTCCTCCTTAGCTGCCTGCTGTGCTGGACCTCCTTCGTTAAACCTTCCTTCCTCTCAGTTCGCTCCTCTTCTAAAGTCCATCCATCCCATCCAGTCCCATCAAACACACGGAGCTCATTTGTAGCAGTAAAATGACCAGTGGTATGAATGCAGAGAACTGAGCCTTTAAAGGTTGTTTATTCCTGAGCTTTTTCAACAATCCTGCTGTGAAACCGTTTAACATACAAACTGTAAATGATGAAAATGATCAAAACATCCTTTCTTCTGATCCTCTCACAGCTCCGGACCACAGAAATGCACTTCATGCATCAAAGAAGACTTGTTTGAGGAGCCGACCTCCATCCTGCAGCAAGGAGGCGTAAGTAGATCAGAACCTTCCTTTAGTCCAGTCTGATGTTTTTTCTGTTTAAACTATGACCTTCTGGGGCCCCCCCTCCGTCCCACTAGGGGCCCACAGTAGGGATCAGAGCTACCTTGGTATGCTTTAGTGAACTGTGGGTTGATGGGAGAGATGTTGCCCTGAGGACAGGAACATGCTGAACAGAAATGGGCAACATTCAGGCCCCGAAACCAGAACAACGGCTCTGGGACCCACTGGGGGCCCAGGATGGATGCTGAAAACCAGCTGATTGCATCGACTCATTGACTCTTCAGCAATCCCTCACACTAAGCATGCTTGTAGCGACAGTGGAGAGGAAAAACTCCCTTTGAACAGGAAGAAACCTCCAGCAGAACCAGGCTCAGTGTGAGCGGCCATCTGCTGAGGCCCACTGGGGTTCAAGGAGACAGAAGCAGACATAGAAAAAGAAGCATAGATACAAAAGGCAACCAGCTCCACAGGCGGCCCCGTCCAGGAAACACACAGCCAGGCAGACGAGCTCCGAGCCAGCTCCCATGTCAGAGGATGAAGAGAGCACATCCAGTTAGTCACAGTCAGAGAAACAGGACTACACTGGAAAACAGGCCAAGCTCCAACATCTAGAAACAAAGGTGTTGATGGCAGCAGCACAGCTGATATTTCTCTCAAACAGGAACAGACCAGATGAAGCTACTATGAGAAAAAGCAGAGAGAGCAGAACGTTAGAGATTGAACTAACAGATTCTGCAGAGTGGGAGAATAGAGATAGAATGAAGCAGAATGATGAAAAAGGGGTCCCTATGTCCTCCAGCAGTCTAAGCCTATAGCAGCAGATCTATAGAGATAGCTGAGGATAATCTATGCTGGATGGATGGACTGATGAGCTTCTGGTTGCAGATAGAACCTTGACCACTGGGAGCAGTCGTGAGCTAATGGTAGAAGGTGATCTGATTGGTGCGGAGCAGGAAGTTTGTAATGTAAATTCCAGTCAAAAAAACTTCCAGGATCCTTCCAGTGTTTCCAGGTTTGGGATCCAGTCCTTCCCAACCTTTGGAGTAACTGTTGGCTAGTCCTGTTTATCTATCTGCATATCTAGGATAGAAATTAGAGCCAGGGGAGAAAGTGAGCTGTTGTTGTGTCCCTCAGTAAACCCATGGAAGCAGGTGTAATTCTACACCTAAAGGTCACCGACAGCAGAGACGCATAAAGGTCACTGTCGTCGGTGACAGAACTGTTCTCCTATCCAGGCGTTCCCAGACAACGCCGCTCGCAGAGAGGTGGAGGCTCTGGCTGCAGTTTGTCCAAACGAAGGATGCTCCTGGACCGGGACTGTCAAAGACTTTGAGGTAGTATAACCCCGCCCCCACACACAAGTTTGGCCAATCTCACCACTGAGAGCTCTGACACACCAATCAGTAGAACCAACGATAGCCACTAATGATCCAGACGAATGGCGTGCAGCCTGCAGTCTGACTACAAACCAGTACTGCTAACCAGTACTACCAGCCTGTACTGTTAACCAGTACTACCAACATGTACTACTAACCTGTACTGTTAACCAGTACTACTAACCAGTACTACCAGCCTGTACTGTTAACCAGTACTACCAGCCTGTACTGTTAACCAGTACTACCAGCCTGTACTGTTAACCAGTACTATCAACCAGTACTGTTAACCAGTACTATCAACCAGTACTGCTAACCAGTACTACCAGCCTGTACTGTTAACCAGTACTGCCAACCAGTACTGCCAACCTGTACTGTTAACCAGTACTGCTAACCAGTACTACCAACCAGTACTACCAACCTGTAGTGCTAACCAGTACTACCAACCAGTACTGCTAACCAGTACTACCAACCTGTACTGCTAACCAGTACTGCTAACCAGTACTACTAAACAGTACTACCAAGCAGTACTGTTAAACAGTACCACCAGCCTGTACTGCTAACAGTACTACCAGCCTGTACTGCTAACAGTACTACCAGCCTGTACTGTTAACCAGTACTACCAGCCTGTACTGTTAACCAGTACTACCAGCCTGTACTGTTAACCAGTACTACCAACCAGTACTACCAACCAGTACTGCTATTCAGTACTACCAACCTGTACTGCTAACCAGTACTGTTAACCAGTTCTACCAAGCAGTACTGTTAACCAGTACTACCAGCCTGTACTGTTAACCAGTACTACTAACCAGTACTACCAGCCTGTACTGTTAACCAGTACTACCAGCCTGTACTGCTAACAGTAGTACCAACCTGTACTGTTAACCAGTACTACCAGCCTGTACTGCTAACAGTAGTACCAACCTGTACTGTTAACCAGTACTACTAACCAGTACTACCAGCCTGTACTGTTAACCAGTACTACCAGCCTGTACTGTTAACCAGTACTACCAGCCTGTACTGTTAACCAGTACTACTAACCAGTACTACCAGCCTGTACTGTTAACCAGTACTACCAGCCTGTACTGCTAACAGTAGTACCAACCTGTACTGTTAACCAGTACTACTAACCAGTACTACCAGCCTGTACTGTTAACCAGTACTACCAGCCTGTACTGTTAACCAGTACTACCAGCCTGTACTGTTAACCAGTACTACCAACCAGTACTGCTAACCAGTACTACCAACCTGTACTGCTAACCAGTACTACCAACCAGTACTACCAGCCTGTACTGCTAACCAGTACTACCAACCTGTACTGCTAACCAGTACTACCAACCTGTACTGCTAACCAGTACTACCAACCAGTACTACCAGCCTGTACTGCTAACCAGTACTACCAACCAGTACTGCTAACCTGTACTCCTAACCAGTACTGCCAACCAGTACTGCCAACCTGTACTGCTAACAAGTACTACCAACCTGTACTGCTAACCAGTACTACCAGCCTGTACTGCTAACCAGTACTACCAACCAGTACTGCTAACCAGTACTGCTAACCAGTACTGCCAACCAGTACTGCCAACCAGTACTACCAACCAGTACTGCCAACCAGTACTGCCAACCAGTACTGCTAACCAGTACTACAACCTGTACTGCTAACCAGTACTACCAACCTGTACTGCTAACCAGTACTGTTAACCAGTACTACTAACCAGTACTACCAAGCAGTACTGTTAACCAGTACTACCAGCCTGTACTGTTAACCAGTACTACCAACCTGTACTACCAGCCTGTACTGTTAACCAGTACTACCAACCAGTACTGCTAACCAGTACTACCAACCTGTACTGCTAACCAGTACTACCAACCAGTACTGCTAACCACTACTACCAACATGTACTAGTAACCTGTACTGTTAACCAGTACTACTAACCAGTACTACCAGCCTGTACTGTTAACCAGTACTACCAACCAGTACTGCTAACAAGTACTACCAACCAGTACTACCAACCAGTAGTGCTAACCAGTACTGCCAACCTGTACTGCTAACCAGTACTACCAACCAGTACTACCAACCAGTACTGCTAACAAGTACTACCAACCAGTAGTGCTAACCAGTACTGCCAACCTGTACTGCTAACCAGTACTACCAACCAGTACTACCAACCTGTACTGCTAACCAGTACTACCAACCAGTACTGCTAACCAGTACTACCAACCAGTACTACCAACCTGTACTGCTAACCAGTACTACCAACCTGTACTGCTAACCAGTACTACCAGCCTGTACTGCTAACCTGTACTCCTAACCAGTACTACCAACCTGTACTGCTAACCAGTACTGCTAACCACTACTACCAACATGTACTATTAACCTGTACTGTTAACCAGTACTACCAAACAGTACTGCCAACCAGTATTGCCAACCAGTACTGCTAACCAGTACTGCCAACCTGTACTGCTAACCAGTACTACCAACCAGTACTGCTAACAAGTACTACCAACCAGTACTGCCAACCTGTACTGCTAACAAGTACTGCCAACCTGTACTGCTAACAAGTACTACCAACCAGTACTGCTAACAAGTACTACCAACCAGTATTGCCAACCAGTATTGCCAACCAGTACTGCTAACCAGTACTGCCAACCTGTACTGCTAACCAGTACTACCAACCAGTACTACCAACCAGTACTGCCAACCAGTATTGCCAACCAGTACTGCTAACCAGTACTGCCAACCAGTACTGCTAACCAGTACTACCAACCAGTACTGCTAACCAGTACTACCAACCTGTACTGCTAACAAATACTACCAACCTGTACTGCTAACCAGTACTACCAACCAGTACTGCTAACCAGTACGGCTAACCAGTACTACCAACCAGTACTGTTAACCAGTACTACCAACCAGTACTACAAACCAGTACTGCTAACAAGTACTACCAACCAGTACTACCAACCAGTACTACAAACCAGTACTGCTAACAAGTACTACCAACCAGTACTACCAACCAGTACTGCTAACCAGTACTGCTAACCAGTACTACCAACCCAGCCTCCTAGCAGCTGGAAGACTCTAGAACCTCCCCATCTGGAATCGAACCCAGAACCTTCCTGTTGCTAGGCAGCAGTGCTCCCCACTGAGCAGCCTGTATTATTGATGATAATGAGACAGAATCTGATTAATTATGTTGGTTTGGTGGAACGTTTCCCTTCTTCTCTGAAAGCTGCTTCCTCTATGAAGGAAACGGCTTCAGATCATTTCTCTGCTCTAAGTTCCAGGGCTGCTAGTGAAGCCTGATGATCTCTGCTTTAACGAACCAAAGACTAGCAGTAAATCCAGGGAGTTTGTGAAGTTGTAAGAACCTTCTGATGATGTTGACCTGCAGGCCAACCATGAGGGCAGCTGTGACTTCATCATCATCATGTGTCCGTCATGTAAGGAGCTGATGAGGGCCAATGAACAGGAGCGCCACAATGAGAGGGAGTGTCCAGAGAGGACGCTGAACTGCAAATACTGCAAAGAACCGTTCCTGCTCAAGAACATCAAGGTGAGTTTTTCCTCTGGTGTAGGAACAGGTGAACACACCTGAATGATGGCTTCAGGTGTCTGTGCTGTTTCCAGAAGGTTCATGGTTGGTTTGATGCTTCAGTCAGCAAAGGTTGGTCACTGATGGAACAGGTTCGCTCTCACCTGTTATTCATCATCATTAAAACAACTGAAAAGGTTAAAGAACGATAAAGGAACAAAGATCAGTGGGTGATCTCAGGTCGTCTCAGGAGGGGAAGCTGATCTCTGACACAGTGATCATTATTAATTAGTTGATTCCATAAAATGATCACGACTCTCAGAAAACTTTGTTCATGTTCTGAGTCTTTCAACAATCTGTCCCTCTGGGTCCATTTAATTCTAATCAGTGTATTTCTATAGCACTGCCTTTGGAGTAATCAGTGATTCAGACTGGAAGATGGCCGCCACTCCTCCTCCTCGCCCAGAACTTCTGGGGATGTGAAAATTAAAATAACTAGAAGGAGTTGCCTCATTTATGCTCACATAATCCTCTTGCTGCAACCAGGTTTCTGTAAGGCAACATAAATCAATGTGATTATCAGAAATTCTATTCAGTGTATTTCTATAGCTCACATCATGTCATCTCAGGTCACTTTCCAGTTCACCAGATCATCCAGTCAGATTGATTCAAAGTTTCTATCTAAGGAAAAATCAAGTCATTAACCAGCAGACTTTAGAGGACAGAGATCTGCTGCTAAATAAATCATTTAATGGTTTTTACGAGTTATTATTATTTTCAATAGATTGTTCTGATTAGGAGACGAGAGTTCAGGCTCCTGCTAACACCTGATGCTCCGTGTTTCTGCAGCGTTATCAAGGACGGCTTTCATTTCTGGTAAAAACCAGAAACTAATGTTTCACATGAACACCCACTCATGATGGCATCTCCACTAGAAAGCTGGAAAGAATGTTATGATGCTGGAGTTGCTGAGATGTGGTGAACTTTGACCTTTCAACATGGTGGAGAGCAGAATAAGGATTCTGTGTGGCGAATGCAGCTTCGTTAAACGCTCTCTGCTGGGTTTGCAGCCTCCACAGAGCTGGAAACAAATATCCACTAAACAAAAGACAGACTGCCATCTCAGAGCTGATCCCGTTTTCTGTGTTGCTCCTTTTTCACAAAGCCAAAAACCACCTAAAGCGTAAAACTTTTTAGCGGATTGTTCCCTTTCCATCAAGCTTTCCTGATTCCGTACTTTAGAATCAGCTGATGATGAAGCAGCAGGTCAGGAGAATCCCTGGAGGGTTAGGGATGGGGGCTAACCCACATTTCTCTGCTCTACCACCACGAAAGCACTGGAACGCAATGCGCTGTTCCAGTAATCCTGGGAAATCATGGGGACCTCATGGCGTCAGCATTAGTGATGTTCCTGTGAAGAGGAGGAGCCGAGGATCCAGGAAGTCTTTGCAGCTGCTCTTCTTCAACATTTAGCTCTGCTTCAGCCTTCTTCCAAATGTCTCCTTTAGATCTTCTACACAATCCACCAAAAAATCTATTGTTGTGAATGTTTAAAAAAAAACAAAAAAATATCCAACCTCAAACAAATTTGCATTAATATTCACAGCCTTAAAAGACTCCTTTAGATCTTCTACACAATCCACCAAAAAATCTATTGTTGTGAATGTTTAAAAAAAAACAAAAAAATATCCAACCTAAAACAAATTTGCATTAATATTCACAGCCTTAAAAGAGGAAGATTGTGCTGATTGATTATCAGTTTGGTTTTTCCTTCGTCTGATTGGACAAACGAGCATCAGGTCAGAGGAACCGTCTGTAGACCTTTGAAGAGAAGGATGGGAGCCGTCCAACCAGAGCATGCCTTAGGCTACGTTCCCACCGCTGGCCTTAATGCTACGTTCCTACCACGGGCCTCAATGCTACGCTCCCACCGCGGGCCTTAATGCTACGTTCCTACCACGGGCCTCAATGCTACGCTCCCACCGCGGGCCTTAATGCTACGCTCCCACCGCGGGCCTCAATGCTACGTTCCCACCGCGGGCCTTAATGCTACGCTCCCACCGCGGGCCTCAATGCTACGTTCCCACCGCGGGCCTCAATGCTACGCTCCCACCGCGGGCCTCAATGCTACGCTCCCACCGCGGGCCTCAATGCTACGCTCCCACCGCGGGCCTTAATGCTACGCTCCCACCGCGGGCCTCAATGCCGCGTTCCCACCGCGGGCCTCAATGCCGCGTTCCCACCGCGGGCCTCAATGCCGCATTCCCACCGCGGGCCTCAATGCCGCGTTCCCACCGCAGGCCTCAATGCTACGTTCCCACCGCGGGCCTTAATGCTACGCTCCCACCGCGGGCCTCAATGCTACGTTCCCACCGCGGGCCTCAATGCTACGCTCCCACCGCGGGCCTCAATGCTACGCTCCCACCGCGGGCCTCAATGCTACGCTCCCACCGCGGGCCTCAATGCCGCGTTCCCACCGCGGGCCTCAATGCCGCGTTCCCACCGCGGGCCTCAATGCCGCGTTCCCACCGCGGGCCTCAATGCCGCGTTCCCACCGCGGGCCTCAATGCCGCGTTCCCACCGCGGGCCTCAATGCCGCGTTCCCACCGCGTGCCTCAATGCCGCGTTCCCACCGCGTGCCTCAATGCCGCGTTCCCACCGCAGGCCTTAATGCTACGTTCCCACCGCGGGCCTCAATGCCGCGTTCCCACCGCAGGCCTTAATGCTACGTTCCCACCGCGGGCCTCAATGCCGCGTTCCCACCGCAGGCCTTAATGCTACGTTCCCATTTATCTGTGAAATCCGATATTTTTTGCGTTGCTGTTTACATTTCCAAATGCGACTTGTATGTGGTCTCCTGTGTGAACTGCATTTATACAACGCTAGTGTCCCTCATGCGCAGTAGAGGGCGCCATGATGTCACAGGTAGCCAGCATGCTCTGTGTTTACAGAAGTAAACATGGATGGTAGCGCTGGAGCGCATCTAGAGATCTTTCCCAACCTTTAAAACTCAATCTTCAATATAAATAATGCTCTCCGCATCATCGTCCGCCATGTTGTTTTTCTTCCTGCTTCTGCGTAGCCAGATGCAGAACAGTGACCCGTGTTTAGTATTAATGCCGTTCAGGTCGGATGAATGCGACCTGGCCGTTCAGACACAGATCGCATTAGAAAAGATCCGATAATTATCAAATTCAGGAGCACTGAGCCAAGTGTCCTGGATGGCATTGAAACAAATCAGATCTATGTGGTTCAGACTGTCATGAAAAGATCGGATCCAGGTCGCAGATGGACATAAAACATCGTATTTGGGTACCTGGCTGGTACCATCCCTACAGGGAGGTATGGTGGAGGCAGCATCATGCTGTAGGATGTTATTTAGCAGCAGGAAGTAGCAGATGGGTTAGGCAAGAGGAAAGCCTTATAGCAGTGGATCAGAACCCCTGGATGTGCTGGACTGGCCCAGACAGAATCCAGACCTAAATCTGATAGAACATATCTGCTCAGACATCTCCACATCACCATGGAGACGTTCCGGTTAGAAGAACGAGCCAAATGGACCGAATGACTCCGATTCAACGAGACCTGAGGCTGGAGAAGTTGCCAACTTCATATTGAACTAAGGCTGACGTAGCTTAGATTAGTAAAATAAATCCAGTAAAAATAAATAAAAGCTTTCTGTCGATGGCGAGATGGGATTAGATACCAGCTGAAGGCAAGCTGGACCTAAACGAGGAACAAGTTCACAGCTGGGAATTCTTTCTGGATTCATTGAAACCTCCAATATTTAGCTTTTCCTTCTCTCCTCCCATTAAAAGCATGGATTTGAATTTGAACTTAATGACCTTTAATCTGTGAATATTAAAGATTTTCCTGAGTTAAAGTTTCTGACTGATGTGTGGTCTCCTCATAGGCTCACGATGAAATCTGTCCCAAGTACCCGATGATCTGCGAGGGCTGTGCCAAGAAAAAGATTCCTCGTGAAAAGGTACGGCGCCGCTCCATCAGGCTCCGCCTCTGCATTCACGTCCAACTCTGACGTTTTTTACTCCGTTTGCTTCTTTTGTTTTGCAGTATGTGGACCATATTAAGTTCTGCAGTAAATTTAAAACGCCGTGCAGATTTCATGTTGTTGGCTGCGATACGTCTGTAAGTAGAGACTTTTCTCCCTGTTATCTGTGCATGAGCGGCTAACGTTATAACCGCTCCATCATCATGGCAGAATAAAGCAGATCCATTAAAACTAGAAGAGAAACGAAGGGAGCTCTCCTGCATGAAGCTAAAGTAGAAGCCATTTCTGGAAATAAACCAGGTTCCTTCCTCTCTTTGGGGTTATTAAACACGCTACAAGTTGCTTCGCGGTTCAGGGAGCGAGACAAAGGTGACGCTCGTTTATTTAAATCAGGGGGAGATGAGTTTATTTCTAGAGATAATGTTTTTTCCATTAAACGGAAGCCTTCTCCATTAGATTTAGATGACTGTGAGGAGACGGGTAGCCTGGCTGGATCAGAGGCTGCCGCTCCCGTTCACTGCCTTCTGTTTCCACCGAGGCAGGCAGAGATAGAACGTCCCAGGGTTAGGGTTAGACGAACGTCACAGAGCGCTTACCAAGTTCATCGTATCACAGAATCAGTAAGAGAATCGATAAGAAATCGAACCGTTTCACAGAATCAATAAAGGAATCGGAATCGTGAAAATCTTATCAATTCCCAACCGTTCCGACCTGAATCTCTGAGTAACGTCACCCTTTAAGTCATTTGCAAATGTCTCACCAAACATTTAGAAACAGTAAAAGTCAGAATTATCCAATTTGTCTGTTAGGTTTTATGTTGTAGCTATCTGCTAACCTCAGATTAAGTAAAACATGGCGAATGCTGCGTTGAATTACACATTTTTAAAGGTTTACTCAGTCGTCTCTCTGCACTTAATAATATTTAGCAGATTATAAATCCCAACGTGAACTTTGTCAGAAGGTACAAATAAAACATGCATTAAAAACATCCACAGCATTGATGCATTAAAGTAAATATAGATATAATACATTCACTTAATAATCAATCACTTAATAATGAATTCATAATTAAATTATTCACTATCTGAGTCATCAAACATGGAAAAAATATGAGATGTTTCTATCATAGTTTTACCAAATAAGCATCCTGGTAGAATTTTTATACGTTTGGATGATAAATGAAACGCAGCTTTTTGTTCTTCTAATGTGTGAAAGCTTCTATCGTTGTTCCTAAGGTGGAAAAGGAGAAGATCCATGACCATGAGCAGCAGTGTTCCTATGAACACCTCAACCTGTTACTGCATTTCATCATGGGGATCAAAGTGAGTCTGGAAAGCCTACAACCTCAGATCCTGGAGCTGGCAAGCCAGAAGTTGCAGGTGCTCCACCAGTCCCTCAGAGAGCTGGAGATGAAGATGAGCCAACTCAGCGGTGGCGGCCCCGCCCCCATGCAGGGTGCATGCGCTCTCACCCTGGCCACATCCTTTACCCCACTTCCCAGCGCCATGGGGGCCGCCCTGGAGCTACAGTTGCAGAGCGAAAAGACCAAAGTGGCGGAGCTGAGCCGACGTTGCCAAGAGCTGGAGCTGAAGGTAAACACATTTGAGAACATCGTCTGCGTCCTGAACCGAGAGATCGAGCGCTCCTGTGCCACCATGGAGGCCTACAACCGCCAGCACAGACTGGACCAGGACAAGATAGAGATTTTAAACAACAAGGTAACAATCTACCGAACCAGAGCCATAGCTCTGTTGAACCGTCCATTCCACCTGCTCTTAGCAGGAAGCATTTTATGGGATTCTTTATAAATAAGATTGATCTTATTAGAAATAAGATCATTAGCACTCCTCTATCTATGATTGTTTTTTCTGTCGGGGGGGCAGCATCTGAGGTAGTCATGGAATCTGAACCGGGTTTAGACTGCTTTGATCCAGTTGAACTTTCAGTCGGCAAAACCTTAAAAGCCTTCAACTTGGATGTTAGATCCAGTTCCAACCAGGTTATTTAAGGAGGTATTCCCTTTGATCTCCTCTGAGTTTCAATCTGTTTTAAGGCTGGTTTAAATCTGATCTATCTAATCGAATTCAGTTTGTTCATGTTAATGATAGATCTTCCTCCTGCTCAAAGGTTACCTGTGGAGTACCACAGGGATCAGTGCTAGGACCAATTCTCTTTACTTTATACATGCTCCCAATCGGTAGAGTTATTAGACAGCATGGGATTAATTTCCACTGTTATGCTGATGATACCCAGCTATATCTGTCTATAATCCAGATGAAGCTAACCCATTACATAGATTACAGGCATGTCTGAAGACAGAAAAACCTGGATGACTCTTAACTTTCTGCTTCTGAATGCAGACAAAACAGAAGTTATAGTCTTTGACTAATCAGCTTCTTTTTCAGAGACTCTGGGCCAGTCACTTCCCCTGTCTGCTGTGGGAGTGTCTCTCACATTTGGATGAGAAAACAGATTGAAATATGAACGAAAAGGGAACTTTTAAAAATATTCGTTTGTAGATCAGGCCTGTTCCAATGCAGACCAAAGATCCGTCCTTGGTGTCCTCTGAGCAGAGCTCCTCCCCCAGGTTTGCTGCGTCTCCTGGAGAAAACTGAAACAGTTTTTCCTTTACTGCTGTGCTGCAGGTCCGTCAGCTGGAGAGGACAGTAAGCCTGAGGGACCTGTCCATCGTGGAGATGGAGGGGAAGATGAGGGAGATGTCTGCAGCTACCTACGATGGCATCTTTATCTGGAAGATCTCTGATTCCACCAAGAAGAGGCAGGACGCCGTGGCGGGCCGTGCTCCTGCCATGTTCTCTCCTGGTACGCATGGAGAAGCTGTCGTCGTATGTTTCTAGCTGGCAAAAACTAAACTCTAGATGCTTGTTGGATCATTGTTGTTTTCCAGCGTTTTATACGAGTAAATACGGCTATAAGATGTGTTTACGGATCTACCTGAACGGCGACGGAACAGGCCGGGGGACGCACCTGTCTCTGTTCTTTGTGGTGATGAGAGGACACAGCGACGCTCTCCTTAAGTGGCCTTTCAACCAAAAGGTAACGTCAGTACATCAGTCTGATCTGACCTAATCTCCGCCGCCTCCTCGGCTCCGTCTCCTTTATGTCGGTGTGCCGCCTCTAGTTTTTGTTTTGTTTTAGAAGTTCATTCAACTCCTTAGGTTATAAAATGGGTGTAAATGAAGGAACTGCTGCTGAATCTGCTGGTTCAGCTGTAAGATGGCAGCAATATGGCCTGATGAAGGTTGATGACAGCCATTCCTCTGCCTCACAGAACTAACAGAAACTTTCAGCCTCTCTCCAGCTGCACTGGGACCTGATGTAGATACTGTTTGACCTGCAGAGTGTCACTGCTGCTGGAGCTCTGAGGTGGTTTGATGGTCATAGTCTCTGCTGTGGTCACACCATCCGTCACACAGGAAGTGGCTCCTGCTGACGCTGCTACCTTCTGTTTGCAGGTGACTCTCATGCTGCTGGACCAGAACAACCGGGAACACATAATCGATGCTTTCCGGCCCGACGTCTCGTCCTCGTCCTTCCAGAGACCCGTCAGTGACATGAACATCGCCAGCGGCTGTCCGCTCTTCTGTCCTCTGTCCAAGCTGGACTCTAAAAACTCCTATATACGTGATGACAACATCTTTATTAAGGCCATCGTAGACCTCACTGGGCTCTAGAGAAAACAACCTGGCAGCAGAAAAATCACTTTTTGTTCAAACTAAACCGGCTGCTGGTGATCAGTAGCTGCTGTTTCTCTGCCGTCTTTGGGATCCATTGTTTACAGTATGCAAGATAGCAGTTTTCTTTCTTTGTTGAAAGTTTGTTCAGTCGTCAGATCAGCTTTTATGCATCAAACTGTGACTATTCACCAAAGTGACTGGAGAGGTGAACAAACCTTAAACAGCGTTTTTACTAACCAATGCATTCCAACAACTTTGTAGCATAATATGTGTGAAACCTCAGAGCTGTGACTGTCTTTGGTCTCTATGCCCAGCATCCCAGCTTCTGGTGCTATAGAAGGGGTTTGAAAGTCTCCCTGTAGCCACTAGATGTTTTTACAAGATAAACCCCAGAAAGGTTTAACCTACTAACCACTGTAGTAACTAACAGACCTGCGAGTCCCTTCAAATAACCAGCTTCTTTACTGACAATTTCTCTGTCGTATGGGATTCTTCCACCATTTAGCTGCAAGCTTTGATATTTTTCATCTTTTTCAACGGTTTCCTTCTATGGTAACCATCTGGTTCTATTTCATCCCTACTGACCACCAGAGGGCAGTGCTGAAAGCACTGAATGTTCCCTTCAGGCATGTGCAGTTCGAGTAATTATCCCAACAGTCACACCTGTGATGCCGGATGACCAATCAGAAGCTATATAACCTGGTGTCATCCATGGCTCTGTTCCCTTTTTCGTCTCGCAAGCGGTACGCTAGCTTCCCCGTTGTTTGATGCCCCATGCTCTTGCTGACTGGAGGTTTTTCTTCTCCCTCCCAGGGCTGCCACAGATCGATTCTACTAGAAGATTACGGAAGGTAAGTTTGTTTGTTTGCTGGCGACGGTAGCGTCCGTGCCCCCTCTCCCAGCTCACGGCTTCTTGTTACCATTTTACCTACAACTTGGTGCTGTTTTGGTTGACAACTGGTGATAACAGCGATTTCACCCCCTCTCCCAATATCAACCCTACTTTTGCAGCTGTAATAATTGGTTAGGGTAGCGGTTTTCTCCCCCTCTCCCAAGTGTGATCAACTTTGCTTGCCGAAGTTTGGATAAGGCTAACGTTGTTAGCTTTTTTGGTTTGTTGGTTTTATACCTGGTGACGGTAGCGTTTTTCGCCCCTACTCCCAACTTACATTACCAAAGTTTGGATACGGCTAATGTTAGCTTTTTTGGTTGGTTGGTTTTATACCTGGTGATGGTAGCGGTTTTTGGCCCCTCCCCCAGTATCAGCTTGCTTGTGCTTTGAGCCTCTTTTATTTCCCTGCTGTAACTGGTGGTGGCTGCGTTTGCGCCCCCTCTCCCGATTTTAGACATTTTGTTTCTTTTTCGGGCCGAGCCCTGTCGACCTTTGACATGGATGGCTCCCACAGCTGCATGGATTGTGGGGCTGCCCTGCAGGCAGAGGTAGGCCACAACTTTTGCCCTACCTGCCTTGGACATGAGCACCTTTTGAAAGAGCTATCTGAGAATTATTTATGCCACATGCAGTGAGGGTGGCTCGGTTGGCCCAGTCGTGCCCCCAGGAGGGCTCAGACCTTCTGCCCTGTGGGCAGGTAGTTCCCCCCAAGCATTCTAAGCGCTGTGGTTGGACTACGGCATCCAAGCCCCTCCTCCGAGGAATGGCCAAACTTGAAATGAAGTCCTTGTTACAGACACATTAATCTGATGGCTCGCTTCTGGTGGCTAGGTTCTCTTCCCCACCCATGCCCAAACTGGTTGTGGAGTATGATGTCATATATCTAGCTGCTTCTGCTTCTCATTTTAGAGATGAGGAGACGGCTAGGTCCTCTCAGGTCTCTGAGACTGGTTCATTTTCATCTCAGATTGTGGTTGGAGGGGCCGGTGACAGTTCTATGTGGGAGGTTATGTTCATGGCCCTAAGCAGCTGCAGCTGGAACTCCCACAGGTAGAGGTATCCAACTCCAGGAGTGCTTTTTTTCAGGTGTGGAAGGGCTCCTACTCCCTTTTCTGTACCTCCATCAGAGGAGTACCTGAAGGAGTTGCACACATGTTGGCGGGAACCGTGAGCATTGTCACGTCTCTCCTCAGATGTCGCATGTTAGTTACCATGCACAACTCGGTGAAGGCAGGCCTGGACTGTTTGCCAGCAACTGATTGTGTTACTGATTGTGTCACCAGATGAAGCCCTGCTTCCTGATATCCTGTGCCCGCGGACTCGATGTCAGGCTACAGATGACCTCTTGTGTAAGGTGTACAATGCACCTGAGCGTGTGCTGGCCAACTTGGCAACTCTCTGGCACACCTCATGTTCGCCCTCTCTGCATCTGTTCCGGATGCTGGTGGTGCAAGTGTGGCATCTGATGCAGTGATGCAGCGCTGCAGGCGTTTGCCCTTATGAGTAGAGAGCTTGGCCGGGTCATGTCTTTCCTTGTCCAAGCTAGTAGACAGGTCTGGCTGGCACAGTCTCCTCTGACCAAAGCATGCCGTAGGACCCTCAGGGATGTCCCGGTCTTACCAGGGGAGCTGTTTTGATCATCTGTCTTGGAGGCGCTGGAGCGGACTGTTCAGGCACATCAGACTAGCCAGCAGCTTTCTGGCATCAGAGACCGAGTAGGGACTTTCGTGAACCAGTCTGCCACTCAGTTAGACAGACCCGGGCCTCAGATCCTGGACGCCCTTCCCCCAGGGTCCGGGGGGATAGAAGATGATGCCACCGGGCCAGCCGTCTGACGTTTTTCCCATCAGCAGCTGATTTCCTGGGCTGTTGTTACTGTAGATCCATGGGTGGTTGCAAACTTAACCAAGGGCTACAGTCTCCAGTTCCGACAGTGGCTCACTCCGGGTCAAAATGACTATCACAGACCCGTTGAAATCTCAGGTAATAGACCTGGAGCTTTCCTCCCCCCTGGGCAAGGGGGGGAATCGAGGCTGTAAATCTCCTGTGGCAACCCAGAGGCTACTACTCTACATACTTCCTTGTGGCAAAAAAGATAGGCGGTTTTTGCCCTGTCTTAGACCTAAGGGGACTCAATTCTTACCTGAAAGTCCTTCTCTTTCACATGCTCACCACAGCAGATGTCCTTCAAACCATTGTGGCGGGGGATTGGTCTACGTCAATAGATCTGACAGACGCCTACTTTCATGTGCCTATTGTGTCAAAACATCGTTTTCTCATGTTTGCCTATCGGGGTCGCCATTGGCAATTCCCAGTGTTCCATTCAGGCTCTCCCTTTCCCCGAGGGTTTTTACTCGATGCCTGAATCGGCCCTCTTTAATCTGGGCTTCATTTTGGCAAAGAGTTGTCCGGTTTCATCGGAGACAACCACCTTTCTTGGGATGCATCTGGACTCCACGACCACGAGGGCCCGTCCATCTGTTCACAGGGTGGATGACATACCCCAGCTTGTCGGTCAATTCAGGCTGGGCAGTGAGTTTCCCTACGTCATCTTCCTGTGAATGCCGGGGAAACTGACATCAGTCACTGGTGTTGTGCCCTTAGGTTTGCTCCTTCTTCATCCTTTGCAGCGATGGCTCAATAGCTTTCGCTTGGACACCGGGCTGCACAGGCTTCGTAGGTGATTGTGATGAGGAGGTGCCTTCGTGCCCTAGCTCTTTGGCGAGACAGGACCCTTTTGTCCAGTGGTGTTCCAATGGGGGTGGTGGTGTGTCGAAGGGAAGTGGTCACCACGGATGCCAGCCCCAAAGGCAGGGGTGCCGTGTGCCAACACAGAGCTGTCCGGCGTCTCTGGGAACAATGAAGCACATAAACATGCTGGAGTTGCGCGCTGTGCACATGGCCCTCAGGCATTTTCTGCCCTACCTATAAGGAAAGGCATGTGTTGGTTCGGACGGACAACACCTCCTCTGTTGTATACCATATAAACCACCAAGGAGGAACCAGGTCGGCACGTCTAGAAGGTGTCGAGAGATCTCCTGGAATTGGTGTTTCCCCATCTGCTCACGCAGCATATCTGCCAGGACGGAAGAACCGGGTTGCAGGCTGGCAGAGATAGATCTGTTCGCCTCAGAGGAGTGAGGATGCGCTGGTTCATCCATGGCCACAGGTTCTCCTGTATGCCTTTCCACGCCTCTTGCTGATTTGGCCGACTCTTTGGAGGGTTCTCGAGTAAGGCCATAGAGTGTTGCTGGTATCTCTGTTCTAGCCAGTGTGGCCGGGGTTCCCGCTGCGCTGAAGTCTGTGTTGTGGTACTGCATGGCGTCTTCCAGCAAAGAGGGATCTGCTGTCTAAGTTGGGGGGACAGATATGGTACCCCAACCCTCAACGTCTCCAGTTGTGTGCATGGCCCCTGGGAGGCTGACTGGGTGTTCGGACACTGTCAGACACACCATATGTAGTGCTAGGGCGCCCTCCACTCGGCTGCAGTATGATAACAGATGGCGTCTCCTTTCTCAGTGGTGCTCTGCCAGCAATGAGAACCCGGTTTCCTGCTCGGTACCCACTATCCTGGAATTCCTCCAGTCTCTTCTTCATAAGGGCCGCTCTCCTTCGACCCTTAAGGTGTATGTTGTAGCAATCTCATGTCGTCACCTATCTGTTGACGACTGTACAGTGGGTTGCCATGAATTGGTTTCTCTTATTCTGCGTGGTGCTCGTAGGTTTTGCCTGCAGCCGGTTCCACGTGTGCCAGGTTGAGATCTGCTGTTGGTTCTCACAGCTCTGTGCCACCCTCCGTTTGAGCCTTTGGCACAAGCAGACCTCAAGTGGCTTTCCTGCAAGACTGCTTTCCTGATGGCTATCGTCTCAGTTAAGAGGGTAAGTGAGCTACATGCTCTCTCTGTAAGCCCTATGTGTATTAGGTGGGCTCCAGATGGCTCTGGTGTTACCCTCTGAGCTAATATTGCATTTGCGCCTAAGGTGTTGTCTCCTTTTCACCATAACCAGCCATTTCGGCTGGCTCGGTTTCAGCCTCGGTCAGGTGTAACTGAGGATGGGTCTGAGTGATTGTGTGCAGTAAGAGCATCGGAGGCATACATTGCAGCCACCGTCAATCTAATACGCTCTGAACAGCTTTTCCTATGTTATGGGAGTCATAGGTTAGGCTGTCCTCTTTCTAAACAGCTTCTGTCCCATTGGATTTTGAATGTCATCTGCCATGCCTAAGCTGCAGGTCACTGCTCCCTGCCAGTCTGTGTGAGGGCACATTCCACCAGGAGCATCTCCGCTTCCTGGGCGGCTTTGAGAGGGGTCCTGCTAGAAGCAATATATGCTGCTGCTTAATGGGCTTCCCGACAACCTTCACGAGGTTCTACATTGTCAATGTGGCTGCCCCTCATTCACTGGGTCAGGCCCTTTTACAAGGTTCTGCTGGGCCTCCTCTGTGAGGTATGTGCTCAGCATTCCTTATGACATTGTTGGAATTAGTCATTCAGTTCTTTCAGCCCCGCCCTCTGGCACTCAGTAGGGAGGAAATAAAATGAAAGTTACGTATGTAACTATGGTTCTATGAATCCCGGATGACCGCCAGAGCTTCTCTGTCACTCAGCTTCTGAGCGGTCATCCGGCGTTACAGGTTAGACTCTTTTGGTATAATTACTCAAACTGTGCTTGCCGAAGGGAACATTCAGTGCTTTCAGCACCGCTCTCTGGTGGTCAGAGGGGATTCATAGAATCGTAGTTACATACGTACATTTCGTCTGTGATTACTTAACTAGCAGTTTAATTTGAGTCAAACAAATCATGAATATCCTCTGCAAAAACTAAAATAAGAGTATTTTGCCTCGATTTTAGAAGGTAAGAAAAATTATTTACCAGTTAAGTAGATGATTGCTGTTTAAAAGGAGAAAGACATCTCCATGATCCTTTGTTCAGTGCATAACTAATTGTTTTATTTGTCTACTCAATAACAAATACACTTAAGACATATTTACTTTAGTTTTTGCGGTTACACAGGTGATAAAATCTAGATCTAGTACTAGATGTCGTTTTTTATTTAATCATAAAGCACGTTTAATGAAAAATTAAGTTGGTTAACCATGAAATTAGGGAAGCTCTGAGGCTCTATCCAAAAGTCTGCCTCTAAATCCACTAGGCAATTGGAAACTCATAAAATGGCGTAACCTGTATAAAGTGCCCCATGAAGGGATTAGGGTGGACATTCAGACACGTCCTGAGTTTTATCCTCTGTTTCACAAAGCAAGTTTACTGGCCTTTTCTCTGTTACTGTAGTAACATTCTCCCTGGAGCTAACCTGGTTAGCAGCAGGTTTTCCTCAATAAACTCTTGAGTGTGCTCTGACTTTGCCCTTCTTAAAGCTAGTCATACCTTTTCATTTCCTGATTCCACCAGAAGAAATCAGGAGACCTGATCCATCCTCACATTTGCAGCATTACTCCTTTAATACGGATTTAGTGATAACTAAAAAACAACTGCACAGTCGGCCAGACACTCAGCATTTACTGTGTGATGAAAGACAGGATCAACATGAGGACGAACCCCAAGAGATGATGAGGAGGTCCTACCTGTGAGAACATTATCAGACCCGATCTTCACCTGCTGATAGGTGACTTCATCTAAATAGATCCATAGATCCACCATTCAACCAGCAAACTAGTTTCCCATGTAATGTCACAATGTCACTCGACTCCAAGTCAATCTACTCTGAGTTGATGAAACTAACACACAACAGCTGCTGTGATTCCAAAACCTCAGTCGATTCAGAGTTAAGGATCTGACTCCCAGTTTGTTGAAACTACTTCATGAAACTGACACCAGCGTTGAAGCAGGGATTTAGTCTAATTTACCAGTCCAGAAAAAATACTGGACGACCGAAGCTCCAGTAGGTGCTGGTGGCCACAGACTAACTCACTGGATTTATGCACAGTTTGTAGCGTGCTAGGTGGCATATTGTCGGTAGCTGTAACCAGCCGCTGCCATCATGGCACCGCCATCTTCTTACCAGACATTACTAGAGTATTTATTCAGATTTCGCTTCCTGTAGATATCCTTGATGGCAGAGAGCGGCGCCCCGGGGAAGCGCTGGGCAGTTTCCATCCCCCTCTGCAAGGCCTTCCGATCCGAGGCAGAGCAGTTCCCAGACCAAACTATGGTTTGAAATTGAAATTGGGGCAATTGGTGATGATGCTCTCTAAGGGTCCATCCATCCAACCCTGCGCAACAGAGCTATAGTCACGCACATGGGGCATCACTGTGTTGCCATAGCAACGACTGCTTTCTGTTGGAGGAAAGAGGCTTTCCCATTATGGTTCATACCCCCCACCTTCAATCAAATCGTCCTCCACTGCTGTGAGACTTCATTGGGACACTTGATGGTAAGGGCCTGTCACTCCCTGATCCATCCCATAAGCATCATCAGCTCATTTGCGCAGTCAGATATTTATCCAGGCGTGAATAAATAACGTAATTATGGTCCTAAAATGACTTACTTCTTTTTCAGTTTTCGCCGTTAAACAGCTTCTCTGATGTCATCGTGGGACATGCTCAGAGCAGTAAATCTGATTAAACCATTTTAGTTCTTTCTTTCTTTAGATTATGCACTATATAGCATAAGGTTAACAGTAAAGGAAAACATAAAACTGGAAAACTAGACTAGATTTATGTTTAAATCCAAAGCTGATAAAGTTAGTTCCTGGAAGTAACGTAGGATCCCATTTCCGGTGCAGATTTGGAACAGTAGAGGGATAAAACAGGATTTTAAGGCATTTATTTTCTCAGGAAATACATTATTAACCTTTAACATATTATAGTTAAGTACACTTACCAGTTTTAGGGATGGAAAAATGTAATTTAGGTATTTTTTATAAAACAAAAACTAAAAAGTAAAAAAAAACTAAATAAAATCAATAAAA